GTGCGGTCAGTTGTTGTTGGTGGTGGTTTATATTTGCCAAATAACTTCGGCTTGTTGGAGTTCACGCACACATTGCACCAGGGATGCACTGACGTGCTTGCAGTTGGAATATCAGTTGCCCCAGACTTAGAGAAAGCATGACGCGGAGACACTTTCGGTTGGTCTGCTGATTTCAACTTGGGTTGTGTAAATGACAAAATATTGCTTTTTGAGGCGAAAATATTCTTATATGAGTTTGTAAGCTCATTATTGCCTGAGTGGGTCTCAATGGACAGACAGTTGTAGGTACGGCTTCCAGTGGATAGGGCTGGGTTATAGAACTTTTCTTTCACTTTGTCTTTATTTATGTCACTACCACGATGTTTCGTTGAACTTGAGAGATCTAGTTCAACCGAGCCTGCGGTCACCTGACTGTTTGTCTTTAGGGAATCGCAAAACGTTGAGGTCATGGATGAGTCAACTGGACTTATGTCTGCTTTTTGGTCTATTTACTCACTCATGGGATCAGTAGCAGGCCTACTTCCAGTCTAATCAAGTGGGAGTTCCGATTGAAACTTGCGAGTGCGACGTTGGCAAGGTGTTGAATCTTCAGTAACCTTAGCAGTTCTATGGGAAGTATGAGCACGCATAGGTCTGCCGGATTTTATGAAGAGTTTAGCATGCCTTACACAGTTAAACCTGAAAAGAAGTGGGCAAGTGTTGTCATTTGATACCTTTCTCAACCTGACAACGTGACGTTCAACCAAAGGAATATCGTATGCTTGTAGACATAAATCTTTCAAGTGATGCATTGAGATATGGTCAGGAAGATTATACACCAAAGCATTATAAGACGACATGATTCGTTTAGTCACTTCCTCTGCTAAAAACCCGATCAAACGTTCACATTTGTGTAAGTTCTCAGAGCTAGCATTAGTATCAGTATTTCTGTCCCAAATACACGCAGCAGGGGCATATTTAGAGAGATTGTCATTAATATCTTTCACATTACTCCGCAGTGACAGTATGTCATTTTTTTATACCAGTCGAGTCACTAATCAAATCTGACACCATGTTTGGCACAACTACCTCAGGCAACTTTTCGGAAGAGTTTTAGAATCCATCAACGACTTGTGTCTTTTGGCTAGCTGACTAGAATTTGGCATAAGTCTCCTTACTGCACATATACGTTTACTAGATTCGGCCATCGTTGTAATTACCTGACATAAAAGTTTCGGATTAGTAATGGTAACATAAACTTAGTTCAACTGCCACCATCTGCCAGCGAATGGAGATGAGATACACAGAAACCAACAAATTTCATCCATGTATGGTGGAGATTAATAGATAACAAAAAATTTTTTAGACTTCTCCTTGTATTCTTCAGGTTCAATAAAATTCCTTCAACTAGACGGTTCTAAAAACTATGGTAACTGTGCTGAAGTTCATATATATATATATATATATATATATATATATATATATATATATATATACATATTTATAGGATTGGACCCAAAGCACGACGTGATAGAAAAAGCCGAGGGTGGGTTACTAGGTTATACGGTGGTGTGATGAGTCAGAAGATAACCCCAGATAAAACCGGTGGACAGTTGCTGAACGTGCGCAAAAATTAGCCTGCTAAAGTGCGTGATTATCGAACAGTGCAGAAAAGGGATTAGCAACGCAACAACAAGAAACATGTGACGTCGGATCCGTAGAGTGCGCTTCCGGAATGTCGTAAAGTGGTACATTTTGCTGCAGTACTGCATGGTAACAATTCCGAAATGCCTCATAACTGCTTTGTCAGCATTATCATATAACGGATGGAACGCGTCGCCCAAAAATATCGTGGCATCTCAAGTGAATAACGCTACCGGTTAATGAATGTAAAGTCGTACGTTAAGCTAGTATCTGAGAACATTGTTTGATTGTAACTGTTCTGAGGGTGCCTCTAGAACAAAGCTATGAGACGCAAGGTCCAATGATTAATTTTTAATGTTTTCGCCCACCAGTTCGAGACCAGGAAGTAACACGGCAGGTAGGTCAGATGGAAATATGTTCGATTCATCTTGTCTATTTACCGATGTCCACCGGCTTACTGGCTGGATAAAAGCGTACGAGCAACTCGAAAACAGTGAGGACACATAGCTGTGTGTCTTCATTTTGACCGACTCGTCAAAACCTCGAATGACAACATCAATATTGAATCTCGTCGAACCCCGGGATTCCGGTTTAGAGAAATTATTCGTGTTAAGCTACTCGGGTAAACATGACCCCCTTGAACTGTCACTACAACAAGTTGAAAGGTAACATTTCTTAGAAAATCATTCCGAATTCTACACTCTGTTTTCAGTTGATAATGTTCAGGGAGAACTTGGCAGTGGGAAACCACACCACTGCCTCCAGTGTCTTTGAATCTATGGGGACACACGCAGATGATAACGTGATAAAACGCCTCCGTAGAGACAAGATTTTTCAGGACTTTTAGTGAGATCTCAAAAAAGGTGAGCCGTGCTTCTAGTGCTGGATGCCGTGAAACGGCGAATGAATTCGTGATGAAATCTGGGGCTTCCCGCTCACGCTTTGGTGATTTATTCTCAAAAGGTTTCTAATGCAGATTTTTCCAATTCTGTTCCTGAAAATCATCAAGGCGAGATATGGAGTAAAATGACCAGCTCAAATGAGTCCACATTAATGGTACAAATTTTATGGTGAAAAAGAATGAGATGAAGAATATTGTCCCTTCTGATATTTTACCAAAAACCTACGGTTTTGTTTTGGCTTCTTGACTTTCTGTTATGCTGATAACCTTACCATCTGGAGAACTACCCTACATAAGTAGAAATATTAATACAAATCTATCAGTTGGTGCTGCAGAAGCGGATTAAAAACAATAAGCTAAAACTGTGTAAGTCTCCAAGAAACGCCAGGCCATGCTTACCAAACCATAAACCATTACGATTTTCGTACTGCCTGCTGCACTACCTTTCGCAGGGCTCAGGAGTATCCCATATTTCCTAGTAAGTGCAGGTGAAAACCTAACTGATTCCTTGATTTGTCACAATCGCATCATGATTGTAACTCCATTCACTGAAAGGGATTTTAAGATTTTTATGCTCATGAAGAATCAAGATAACGTCATTCTAGCTAGTTCGTCTTAACTTGTAGCAATGTTTTTAGCCGACGGCAACATCTCACATCATAGCGCAGATAGAGTAAGCTTGCGGTTTTTGAGCCCTCTCTTCTAGGTCCTTAGGCTCGGTTCTTTTTGTTTGGCTATACTCCTTCAGTGGTCACAGAAGCCCTTGCATTTTTCCTGCCTATGGATTTGGAGGCCGTGACTGTCTGTCTGAAGGTATCTTTCCTCTTAAATTGTAGCTTGGTTTGTTTGGGAGTGAAACAAAGTGACTGTTGACAAGATCAATCGACCCTTTACAGTTCTTGTTTTTGTAAGTGATGGTAAGGATTAGGCACCACTCGAATGTGCCATAAATATGGAGAGTGAGTAATGAGAAAAAAGGAGTGGGAGGCACTTATGGAAAGATATGTGCTACCGCTAATAGTGTGGAGAAGGGATGATTCTTATTGCAGATGCTTGCGTCGGAGAATACTGGGATGGATGACTGCACCACCAGTTGCTACTGACAGATGTGCGTGATAAGCCATTTACGCCCACGTACTTCTCCACCAATGGTTTGAAGGAATCGACTGGTGCAGCTGTGGTCACCTCCCTCGGCACAGCATTCCACAAGGCACACACTCCGTGTTAGAAGAATCTTCACGACACCTTCGTCTTTTCTGTATGGTGAGGTACGCGATTTGAGTTCAAATAGGGTTGTCGGTTTTGGACCGATAATGTTGACCTATTTGGGCGGTCCATTCGGTGAATTATCTTGCAGGCCGTTATCAAGTCACCTCTTTTCACTCTCCAGCTCAGTGTGAACAATTCGAGTTGTTTGAGGCATTTCGCATATCTTTTGCTTGTTAGTCCGACAGCAGGCCTCGCAGGTGTTCTCTGTACCTTCCTGACAGTATCTATGCCTCGCTTTAGTGGTGGTGGGGGAACTTTCACGGCGAACACCTCTAGGTGTGGTCTAACATAAGTTTAAAATACCACAAGGTATCATTCCTCGGTGAATGACCCAAACTGTCATTCCCTTTCAGTTGTCAGTTGTGCTCAGCGTGTTGGAAAATTTTAGTCCCAGGTCTTCCGCTGTAAGTATCTTGGTGATTGCGCACTTGTTGAGAGTGTAGCTAGTTTTCACCGCCTCAGGTTTCCGGTGATACATCACTTTGCATTTCTCCAGGTCAAAGCTTATACTGTTTGCAGGTGACATAGACTCTGGATGCAACAGGTCGTTTTGGAGTGTCATGGGATCCCATTCCTTACCTATTGTCCTCCGCATTTTGGTCTCGTCGGCAAATGGGAGGGTGGACGAGGATGTTTTAATGGGAAGGTCAGCTATGAATAGTAAAGATAGGAATGATCCTAGGTTAGCCTCTTTAGAAGCTTCTGTTCTTGAACTTCTGCAGCCCGATCGAACTCCGTTTACTTTAGTACGGAATCCTCTGTCCTCTAGATAGACTGTAAACCATCCCAAGAGTGGTTCAGTGATTCCTACCTTTTCAAGTTTAGCGAGCATGGTGTGGTGTTGGACGCTGTCGAAAGCTTTGGCCAAGTCCAGAAAAATGACGTGATTTGGTTGCTTGTTGTCCCATCTAATGGTCCAGACATCCTATGCGGTCAGCAAGTTTGTGAGACGTGACCGTTCGGTTCTGAAGTCCTTTTCCGTGGGATAAGCGGTGTTATTTTCCTTTAGGTAGTCCTAAACAATATCTGTAACCAGGCTTTCCAGTAACTTGAGTAGTATGGGAAGTAATGCTGTTGCCCTGTAGTTGCACACGTTTCTTCGGTATGAAAAAGTCATTGTCCAAAGCAACTTGCTTTGGTTTCCAAACTACATCTTTCAAGTATTCATGTCATTGATGTTGAATGTTAAACATATGCCGAATTTGTTTATATTTACAATCTAAGTCTTAGGCGGTTGTCCTTGCACAACCAGCTGTTCGACTCCTTCCGTAGTCAAGTGGGTTGGAGTTTTGTGTGGGAGTGGTGTGACGAATGAGTCACCATAAATTGAAATAGTTGCCTTAGCGGCTTTATACCCTTAGGTAAAATAGATGCGCGTCACTTGCCTTTCTTGATTTAAGTCTTTTCAGAAGACTGATGTTTTACTAAATCTGAAACATCCAATAGTTAACCGAAATAGTGGCTACTTGTTTGTGACTATCAGGTATCTCGTGAGTGTGTCATGACCTTGTGTTCATCCAACTTATGTTTAAAACTGTGTAACTATATTCATTTGCACTGTTTAATAGAATTCATTTGAGTGCAGAACGAGCAGCTTGTATGACCACCATTGTTAATATGTTAGTTGTCATCTAGAAGTTATTTCTATCAGATACTGTCTAATATCTGTCCTAGCGCCCTTGCAAAAATATGCCTCACTAGCCCATGAACTTTGCATAATTTCGAGTTGCCTTTTTTAAAACCAAAAGGCATTTTATTCGCGATACTTTAGACGTCTGACACCTTTTTTATAAATGATTTATATATGTGTAGACTGTTGTTTACTTTTTTTTCAGGAGGAGTCCACTGATCTACTCCTGAGATGAGAGTCGCAATCACTGTTCACTGGTTTACTTTCTAATTGCATGACTAATGTAGTCCATTCGAACAGGCTACATTCTAATTTTTTCAAGACTCGTTTGCATCACTGCATTGACTAGAAGTAGTGTGTAAAGTGGTTGAGCTTGCTGACCGCTTTGGCCAACTGATTATCTACATCAGCCATACTGGGTCGATGATCGACAATCTGGACGCCAACGCGCAAGACTTAGCTTTCGTCCACCTATTCCACTCATGGCGTCAGTGAAATAACTGTTTGCCTACTTAGACTTTAGTGTGTTGCACAGCAGTTTGTCCTATTATACTCTATGGTTGTGGAATTTGACCCCTTAAATTGGAGGATGTGGGAAGGCCATGCGAACCTACTATCAATCTCGTAACAGTGGGCATGTATTTTGTAGTCGTTTTGATTACGTAGAGGTTATGTTCAAAAGCTAAGTTTGTTTGCAAGGGTATAACATTTAACTGACTGCGGTGGCTGGGGCATGTTGTGTCCTGACTCGGTGTCTGCTCAAACGTACCATGTTAGCTGAAGTAAGATTACAATGAAGGATATCTTAGGTCTGAAAGTAAGGTCTGCGATGCAGAAGAGGCGTGAGCTGGATATGATACTGAAAGCAGAGTAGGAATTTGCAGATCAGCAATACTATTTTCGAAGTGCTCAGGTTTTGCAGTAGTGTGTTCATGAAGTCACACACTTGGTGATTATGACAGTTTGCGCATTTTCTGTTTATTATTCTGAGCTGTATAGGGAAGCGTATGCTTTCAGTTTGGGATCCATGAGGTAATCGAAAAAAGTGGTTAGGAGACATTAGATGATGTAAATTGGAGTCGATTGCTGTTTCGCTGATAAATTCGTACCTTATCTTCCTCTTGACCACTGCATCTTATTTTGCTATTTACTTTAGACCTTTTTATCTTAAGATTTTTCATGACTTCTGGGTCATTTCTATTTCTGTACCTTTCATCTTGTTGCCTTATATTTTGATGTGTTGATATACAGTGTGGCGACCTAACTACCTGAGCATGAGAGCAATAGAGGTGTCGCATTTATTTTAAATTTACGAATATTCTCCTAGTTTTTACCACATTATTTGCCGAGGTAAAAAGCACACGCAAGTTTGCCTTAAAGCGCATCTGGATTATATTGTCTTCATATTGGAGACTTAAATCTTAAATACAACACACTTCACTTTGAGCAGTCAAAAGTCGACCTAAAACTTGGCGCAAAATGTATCAGTTCCTGTTGCTGTTCTTCATAATAGCGTACAACTGCAGAAGAATATGTTGAAGTAATTAAGTGTTGTAGTTGATTTATTAGATGTATCACAGTGAAACAGTATTATTTACTAGATTACGTTTTGGAAACAATTTATTATCCTTAGTCATATCAAGATAACTCCACAACTTTGAGACATGGTTATATAGTTCTGATTTTCACGTCTTTGTATCATATATCCAGAACAGGTGCTGAGTCATTCTTGTTGCATATAATAGGTGTTGATTCGACAAAGAGAAATCCGGTTATCATTATCCTTCTTCACCCCACTGGGTTAGTTTTAAGGATTTTCGCTCTATCCCATTCTGTTGTGTGGTTGTGCTTATTCGCATGCATAACTAATGAATCAACTAGAATGTGAACACTTCCTACCACAGAGACCAGGTTTTACTTTTGTATGGCCAAGACCAAACGCACCTGCTCTACGGCAATCAGTTTTTTGGCCACGTCATGGAGTCTCCTATTTATCGTTGAAACCTAGGACTACAACCGTAGCTTTCACTTTCTAGCACGTATCAAACTGACGACCAGAGTTTCCATATCTACCTACACACGTCATCACTCAAAGCTGTATCGAAATTATTTATAGTCTTGGAAGAATTGCAAAGTTGGATGGTATGGTTTTACCTTTAAGTTCTTCTGGCTTAGCATAGACGCTTAATTATGTGCCATTTTGTGATCTGCGAGGTCAAACTCAGTTTTCATGATGTTACCCATTATTTTTATCTAAAAGAGTACACCGTACGAAAGTGGTGAATATTCTGGGTGCATCTAGTAATAAATTTCTTTGCGTATGACTTTTGGGTTCACTGCATGATCTGTCCACGAAGATAGATGCTGTGGTGCTTTTAATTACATCTGAAAAATCACTTCGCATCGTTGATTGGTGTTATTTTACTATGAAGTATGACGCACCATATTTAGATGTCATTGCAATTGCCTAGAGTAATTTAAAGTGGTCTTTCCAGTATAGATGTATGTTACGCATGTTGTCCCAAACTGCACATTGTTTGCTTGCCCTAAGACTAATTGCAAGAAGTGGGGAGGTGGCCAGTCTATGATGTAGTTCCGTGGTATGAAGGATAGTTATGTTTGATTACTATATGTAGGTGCGCATACCTACCTGGATGGAGTTTGTGAGATCGTACGTCTCAGTTGCCTGAAACGATGGCAGAAATGACTCTGAATCAAAGCCAACAGCGACCTTACTTCTGTCTTGCTCTTTCTATTATTTTAATGAAAGTGAGTACTTTTTGAATGTGTTTTTGAGACTGCGTGTTTAATAACTCATTTGTTTTTGTTCTCGTTTTTTCGTTGCTTCACTACGTCATCATAATGTTACTTTATGATCTTGTATGGCTCATCTCTTGGTGCTCATGTACCATTTTTGTGTTTTAATAATAATAGTATGTGAGAATATTTGTTTCTCTGCAGCTTTCAGGTTTATCGACTTTAATAAATGCACTCGTGTTGGGATCTATATAAGTATTTGCGAAGATGTAATGTTCCTGTAAACAGTTAAGGTACCGTTGGGTAGTTTCGGTCTCATGCTGTTAAATTCCGAAGACACTAGGTGGCAAAATTAAGTTTGGTGTCAATGAAAGTTGAATTGTGATTTATGTGAGCTGTTTTGCGTTGTTTGATTCAGTCAGTTGCACTGTTGTATCTAAGATCATGTTGAGACTTATTGGTCTTTATTACCTTAAAATCGGTGACTCGTATTCAGAGTTTCTCCTCTGGTCTATATAACATTGTTTCACTGGATATATTTCCCACTTAGTTTCTTTCATTAGTGAGTTCAGGTGTGACTCTTAAGGCTAAGAGGTAACAGCATAATCGGTTGATTAGAATTTCAATAAACCTTTGAATACATTAAATACCTGTTTCAAAACGGTACAACAATTCACAAATACTGGGAAAGCACTTCCTAACAACAAAACTTATAGTTTACGTTGAGTCTAATTAAATGGTAACTTGTCTGTTTTCCAGAAATTGGTTTGGATTTCTTATGCTTAAACTGTAATTTGGCAGATAAATCACTTCACTATCCACTCATCTCTTTTCATTCAGACCTCTTTCTACAGTTGCTCTTTTATGGTGTTGTCAAAAGCGAGGACTTGAATTTGTATCATTTGGGGGGTGGGGTGGTGTGGGTATATATTATTACCTTGGAAAACTATGACAACCTATATATGATGCCACCTTCCGTACGCTTGGTTCATTGATGACTTCATCGTATGACTGTAGTGAAACTATCAACTGTGCTTGAATAAAGTCAGATGTAAGATTCCTAGCAAAATAATTTACTTATCTGATTAAGTCATTAATCTGCATTGTGATTTCCAAAGTATGTTACTCAAACTATTTGCTGCCATGCAATTGAAAATTAACCACCACAAGAAATAGTTTCGAGGTACTATTATGATGTAATGCCTAGAGGTTTATTTCTTCGCTTTAGAAACTTTCTGTAAGCTGGTCATTATTCAAAGAAAAAATATGATATGATGCTAATGTAAGATTCCTTTAAATATTGTCTTTTCTACACATTCATTGATGCTGGAATGTTTTCGTCGTGTTTTATATCAACTATGTTAACTAAACACTTCTAGTTACGGAGAGCGACTCCGTCCCCAAGCCAAAAAGATGGTTGTTGTAAAGCTGGGGAGGGGGGAGGGACAGGTCGATCTTATTACTGAGCGAGTCAGGGCTCCCTGGTTGGATTTTAGGGAGTCAATACTGAAAGTATCATCTTACAATCTAACTCCATTTAACTCAGAACATAATTTTTCGGTATTAAGCATTGATAAATCACATACTGGGGGTTGCGTGGGAGTCATTAGTAATGATTGTGATAAAATAAGATGATCTTTTATTACACCATTATATATCTCACTTCCCAGTTATACTGTTTCATGTGAGAAACTCGATATAAAAAAGGTTTTACTATTACTAACTCAGTGTTAGGGTGTGGTAGTGGTTGTGATGTATCCATTTAGTCCTCAAAAGTTGTCACATTCATCAGTGCATCAATTTGTATTGTTATCACGGTGTTCTTGTGGCTGTACTCAAATTTCGATGAGGAAAATATACTTTATAGGTAATTGGTCATTACTGAGTCTGTGTTTGTGAGAACGCATACAGGACCCAAGTGTGGTTATTCACCTGACCTCTCCTGACCAATCTGGTGAATCTGCAAAATTCACCCTTCGAGTTTCTGGAGATTCGATAGCTAGCTCTCGTGGTCTTGCAGGTGTAGGTATAGCATTAAGCACCAGGGCAGAAAACTCACTACTAGACTGGATCCCAGTTGATAGTCGCCTCTGCGCTATGAGGCTGAACGGCACAGTGAGAACTAAAAGGAATAGTGAGACTCGCCGTTGTCTCTTTGTAATCTCTGCTTACGCACCCACTGACTGTAGTTCGGATGAAGTGAAGGACGAGTTCTACCATAAACTGTCTAACCTCCTCTCGAAAGCCAAACGTTCGGACGTAGTGGTTGTTGCAGGTGACCTCAACGCACAGGTGGGTAGACTGAGTGAGGCAGAAAGGCACTTAGGTGGCACTTTCGGAATCCCAGCTGAACGTACAGATAACGGTGATCGCCTATTACAACTATGCTCAGATAACCGCCTATTTTTAGCCAGCACAAATTTCAGACATAAAGAAAGGCACTGTCTGACCTGGCGTCCACCGAGCTCGACTCAGCGATGGACACAGATAGACCACATTGCTATTAGTCATCGCTGGAGAGGATCGGTGGAAGACTGCCGCTCCTTCTGGAGTACGTGTTTGGACAGCGATCATGCGTTGGTCCGAGCACGTATATGCCTGCGTCTCAATGGACGTAGAAAAAATTTGGCAACAAAACCACTACGAGTTCTGCTGGACAACGAAAACACCAAAGCCGTGTTCAGTGAGAAGTTGGCTAGGCAGTTATCGGAACAAAAGACTGTCACTCATCCAGAAGAAGCTTGGTGCCATCTTCAGTCTACTGTAAAAGCAGCACTGGAGACTGTAGCCGACTCCAAGATAATGGCTAAAAAGAGCCAGTGGATATCAGCAGCTTCTTCCAAACTAATGGATGCACGTGAATGCATCCCTGCAGGCTCTGAGTACAATGAAGAGCGAGCGCAACTTAAAAATAAACTGACGAAAAGTCTGCGCAACGATCGTGAACAGTGGTGGGCAGCAAAGGCTAAAGAGATGGAAAAGGCAGCGGCGATCGGTAACAGTAGACAGTTATTTAGACTTATTAAGGAGACTGGGGGGAAATGGTCAACAACAGTTAGTGAGGTTATAGCGGAGAAGGACGGATCGGCGATTCACTCGCAGGGAAGGCGACTGGGACGATGGGCAGAACACTTTGAGGAACAGTTTAACTGGCCTCCAGCCACCATTGCGCTGCCCGCTATCCAGTCGGACCCTGAATGGGACATAGAGACAGGTCCCCCAACACTAGAAGAAGTGAGAAAGCGGTAGGTAGCCTGAAACGGGGAAGGGCAGCAGGACCAGACGGACTACCTGCTGAGGTATACAAGAATGGTGGTAGAGTTCTCTTAGTCAGGCTAACGGAAGTGTTAGCCAGTATATGGGAATCAAATACGATCCCCTCCGACTGGTCTAAGTCACATCATCCCAGTCTTCAAGAAAGGCGAGAAGTCCTCTTGTGATAACCACAGAGGAATCAGCCTGACAAACATAGTGTCTAAGATCCTAAGTTCTATAATTCTCCGACGCCTGAGTGGAGCTCGGGAACAGCAAGCCCGAGAAAACCAGGCAGGCTTTAGACCTGGCCGTGGATGTATCGACCAAATATTCACACTGCGCCAGGTCCTGGAACATAGGCATGCTTACAGACGCCCGACAATAGCTGTATTTCTCGACCTGAAGGCGGCATTTGACTCCGTTGATCGAGAAGTCTTATGGCAGTGTCTGTCACTGAAAGGCGTGCCTAGTAAGTACATCACCTTATTGAAAGCTCTCTACTCGAACACTTGTGGGCATGTTAGAGCCTATGGTGAGTTGTCCAGGGAGCTATACTCATCAAGTGGTGTCCGTCAAGGATGCCCACTATCCCCATTCTTATTTAATTTTATCATAGATATTCTTATGGAGGTTTCCCTCTCGTCACCTAATTACAAAGACGTTGACCGGATCACAGGTGAATTTTCCTTAGATCTAGAATATGCAGATGACATAGTCCTGTTAGGTGAAGACGCTGACAAGATGCAGAGTCTTCTGAACACTTTGAGTGGGAATTTGAGAATGTTTGGGATGCGATTTTCACCACCCAAATGCAAATTTTTGCTCCAGGACTGGTCTTCAGCGGTACCGCGGTTAACAATAGAGAGTGAAGTGGTTGAGTGTGTTGACCACTTCACTTACCTGGGAAGTAGGATCAACCCGGTGGGTTAGTTGCCGATGAGATTTCTGCACGGATACAAAAGGCTCGATTGGCTTTTGCCAATTTGCGCCACCTATGGCGCCGCCGTGATATTCGTTTGTCTATTAAGGGTCGCGTGTACTGCACAGCAGTCCGCTCTGTTCTACTGTATGGCTGTGAAACATGGCCATTGAAAGTGGAAGACATGAGAAGGTTACAGGTATTTGACCACCGTTGCCTTCGTAGTATAGGACGTATTCCGTGGTGTCACCATGTGAGTAATGCAGAAGTTAGGTGTAGAGTTTTAGGGAGAAGAGGTAAGTCAGTCGACGAGGTTGTGAACCTTCATCGACTGAGATGGTTGGGACACGTACTACGTATGCCTAGTCACCGATTGCCTCGTCACACAATGTTGGCTGAGGTGGGTTCAGGCTGGAAAAAGGCCCGAGGTGGCCAGACTAAAACATGGCACCAATGTATGAAGTCTCTGACTGTTGGTTTAAGCCATGTAGGACGATGCAGACTAGGTGGTTGGGGTCCACGGGACAAGAGGAACCAGTGGTTGGAGACCCTAGGTGATATGGCTCAGAACCGAAGTCAGTGGCGCAGATGTATACACACATTATCCTCATCTTAACAACGCTATACCGAATCTCACTATTTTGTCACTCCTCTTTCCTTTCTTCTCTACTTTATATTTCTTTTGACTGCATTCACTATCTTCATCCTTCACCTCACTACCTTTTTACTTGATGTGCTGATATGAGGTGTGGCAACTCGGACCGTTACGCAGTAATGCCTGGTCCTATGTTGATAATGTGATGAGATGACTGAGTCTTTTTGTTACACATGTTCCCGTCCGTTATTTTCAGTTTTCACAAGTTTCTATCATTTGGTATGATACAGAAGTTCTTTTCTTAAAAATGCAGAATGCAAACCAACGAAAATACTAATGGTATTACTGAAGGAGTAGACAGTTCATTTCTGGATAGTACAACAGATATATTGGACTTTCTGAACACATCTGATACGGATAATGAGGATGTGAAGGATGCTGATGAGAATGAAGTGGAAAGAAATCCAGAAGAAGATTTAGCTAACGATGAGGCTTCTTCGTTAACACTTTCTATAACGAATGTCGTTGTGATGGCTAGTATGCAGTGTCATTTGCGGTTAAAAGAAATAGCCAGAAGTAGTGTTAATGTTGAATACAAACCTCTTCAGAATGTAAGTCTCAACAACTTTTTGATGCTGTTTTTATAATTTATTCATTCACCATTTGATTGAACTAAAAATAAATAAGCGATGCATGCTTCTGGAGGGACATGATACTTAATTTTAAAGAAATCCTGCGTATTTCGTTGTTACGTATTGCGCTTGCCTGTTAAATTTGATGGTAATCAAGGAGAATACGTGTTTCGTAAGTCGAATGTTATATAGCGGTTACCTAGATGTGATGGTCGGATTTGCATACCACGATGACAAAAAGAGCTACACCGGCTGGAACGCCAGTTCCTTGAGATCTTACCATATCAAACAGGTCAGTTGGATTGTTGTAAAACAGAGCAGTTACTGTCATATTGTCAGTTGCTACACTATGATGGGGACCCGGCGGTGAAGTCGTACTGCCGGCTGGGCGGGATGTGACAGCAGTAAGTTGTTTCCCATGGATAATCAGCAGTGCCATGCTGTGTTTCCTTCTCTGTGAGAGAAGCACGGCTGGTTAGAAAATGTCGACCCCAAAAGTGATATTCCTCTCTAACCCATAATCTTGCGATGCTGGCGGTGTAGGTTTCACTTACTTGACTTTGAAGTGAAATCTCAAACCAGCAGTCCTAAAAAGGATATATGACAAGCTTCGAACGGATGTTCCATGGGCTCTGTGGTCCTGCAAGGTTTTTCCTCTTTCAGGTACCCTGTAGAAACAGCTTCCGTGGTGTGTGTAATCTGGAAGTAACCATCACCGATACGCTTCCAGCCGAATACGAAACCCAATCAAAAATAACTTACCCTCCTTATTTTTGTTTCCTCTCTTGCCTTCTCTTTCTGATATCGATATTAAACCTCTGAATACTACCTAAACCCCATCTTGTTGCAGTTGCCAACGATACAAGTCCGTGAAAAGTCATTCCTAGTCTCTTGGAACCCCGCTTTCGATTTCACAACGTATATCAAATCAAGGAAAAGGCATTTTCTGTCAGAACTGTAGAATCTCGAGGCATGAATGTATACTCCTTGTTAGACACATATACAGGACCCGAGTGTACTTATTAACTTGACCTCATTTGGTCCATGTGGTGAATCTTCAAAATTCCCTTTATGAGGGTCCGGAGATTCAATGATTAACTGACTGCCCCTGACTGACAAAATCAACGTAGAACCTCGTATACAAGTGCATCAAATCGATTCGCTACACTTCACAGTAGTACACAAAGAACAGGTAGATAGAAAAAGAATGATATCAAAGTAGATAAAGTAGTGTAAGAGAATAAACACTGAAAATGAAGGTTAGTGCAAATATCCAAGCTCTAGAAGACGTCAAGGAGTGAATACTTCTGCACAATTGTGATCGATTTTCAGCCATGTCATCAAGAGTCAGTCCTCAACCATTGATTCTTTTCGCCTCGGAGACCTCAACTAATCAGTCTACATCTCCTCATACGCCTCATGCTAACAGTAAGGGACTTCATCGACCGGTGTCAGGTCTTTATCTGGCCACTGAACCCTCTTTTGACCTAATTCGACTACCTCTAAAATGGCACGTCGAAAGTAGGCGGTGGCTTGTCATGCTCAGTACCTATCCAAGCCATCTCAGTTGACTAAGGTTTACAAACTCATCAATCCACTTGGCTGCCTTGCCTAGTACCTTTTACTTGCCTTCAACATTGCTCATACGGTGGTTCCACCAAATGCGAGCAATGCTGCGAAGACATCTATTTTCAGAACTTTGTAACCGCTTCATATCTACTTTTAGCGGCCATGTCAGCCGTACAACAGGATAAGACGGACTACAGCGCAGTATACTCTTCCTTTGGTAGATAGATATCTCGCCGGTGCCAGAGATAACGCAGGCTGACAGGTTCTAAATGGGCCTACTGTATCCAAGCTGAGATCTCGTCAGCAACCAGCCCGCTTGGGTTGGTGCAAATCCATTCTTGAAAACATCGGGTGGAAAACCGTCAAATCTTGGTGCTTTGCTTTGTTTCAAATTTGAAACGGCTTCCTCATTTTTAAGAGGAGTTGGAGGACTAACATACACGTTGCATTCAGCTTCCGCCTGGATGCTGGGTAGGAAAGCATTGTTGTAGGTCAATTGAACTTATCTTCAAAAAATGTTCCCCTCAATTTTCTAGCCACTTGTCCTGAAAGGTTATCACAGTCCTATTCTGCTTGCTTGTCGTCTCACTAACCATTGTCTTTGTATTGGCAGTATCCTCAGTAAACTGAAACAACTGCAGAGTATTATTAACGTCTAAACTATAGTTGTTATGAATGTCCTGCTGAAGAAGCTATGCCATACACACTTAAACGTTCAGAAATATCTTTTTTTGATTTTCTTATCACGATGGAATTTCACTGAAATACACTCTTATAACAATTGGAGAGTATTACCTAATCCAGTGTCTTCCCTATTTCTCACTCTCGTCACCCACCACTGTTCCCCTACCATTCCAAGTTTCACGTTTGAGCTGTTTTCGCTCCCCATTCCGGTCACAGTCAGCTGGGATGAGTATTCATGAAGCAGTCAGGTTGGATGGGGTCACAGAAATCCGCTGGCTTCCGCTAACCTTTACCTATGGATGCAGATCATCAGCTGTCCTTACCGTCGTTTATACAGCGGACTGAATATCATGTCAGGCTAAATTAGGCCAAGAATTGCTTTCACCTTCCTTACAACAAATGCTCGGTATACATAAAACGACCACATCTAATTGAGTACACAAGACTATTTTTAATTTTCTGAATGGATTAGGACGCAAAAATATACGTTCCTGAGGCAACGTGTCATCACAGTCCAAGCACGTACTCCAAAAAGATCAGCATATCTTTACTAATCCTCTCCAACGATGGCATATAGCAATATCATCTATCCATGTCCATCGTTGGTTTCATATAGGTGGACGCAACGCCAGACAGTACCTCTTACTTTGAGTTTGAAGTTAGTGCTGATCAGAAGAAAGTGACTGTCAGGACAGAATTGTAACAAACGATCACCGTTTCCGGTTCGTTGGCATCAGATACTGTAGATCGTCTTATTGGTTTAGCTGCTATTATAAATACATCTGAAAACTTTGATAGCTCCGGATAAAATCCATCCGAACTGCAGTCGGGTAGGCAGATATAATAAATACGCATTGGTAGGTCTCACGACTAATCCTCGTCGGAAAGCATACAGACGGCTGTTGACTGGTATCCAGTCGGTAAATTTTAGTTTTATCAAAAGAGTGAGTCACCAAACATCAGTGGAAGTGTACATAAGTGGTAGTTCTTCATGATGGGTAGTCTCTTTGCCGAATGATCGAAAACTTTGTGTTGTACATACAACAGTGAGTCCACAAGAGGTAGTCATTGATGGCTTGGGCATGCACGGCTAATGATGAGCCACCGCCTACTTCCGACGTGCCATTTTAGAGGTAGTCGAATTAGGTCAAAAGAGGGTTCAGTGGCCAGATAAAGACCTGACACCGGTCGATGAAGTCCCTTACTGTTAGCATGAGGCGTATGAGGAGATGTAGACTGGTTAGTTGAGGTCTCCGAGGCGAAAAGAATCAATGGTTGAGGACTGACTCTTGATGACATGGCTGAAAATCGATCACAATTGTGCAGAAGTATTCACTCCTTGACGTCTTCTAGAGCTTGGATATTTGCACTAACCTTCATTTTCAGTGTTTATTCTCTTACACTACTTTATCTACTTTGATATCATTCTTTTTCTATCTACCTGTTCTTTGTGTACTACTGTGAAGTGTAGCGAATCGATTTGATGCACTTGTATACGAGGTTCTACGTTGATTTTGTCAGTCAGTTGTCAATAAATTACTGTATAGATTGAAGGAACAGAGGTACTTGTTGGTGTATGGGAATCAGAGTTAGTGCCGTCATACTAGTCTGCTTCACTGATCATTGCAGTCTGTAAAGAGGGAGATAAGTCTTGTTGTAAATAACATGGGGGAATCAGTTTGACTGACATTATATCCAAGATCCTAGGCATCCCAGTTTATCGATGCCTTAGTGGAGCTTGAGAACAGTAAAGTCGAGAAAAGCAGTCAGGTTTCAGAACTGGGCGAGGGTGTATCAGTCAGATTCGCTTCTTTCTTCAGTTTGTGGAACAGTCATACTGACTAGTGACAATGGCAGTGTTTCTCAGCCTGAAGGTGACACACGACGATGAGATGTAATGGGAGCGTATGAGTATGATTGGAATATCGAGAAATTTGACTATTCTATTTGAAGTGCTTTACTCAAATCCATGCTGTGTTAGGAGAGTGCATGTGAGGTTTTGATGTGAGTTGACAGCAGATGTTGGTGTCCGTTCAGGATGTTGGGTATCTCAAGTGTTATTTAAGTTGGTTATAGACGCTTTAATGTGTGTGAGCCTGTATAGCTTGTAATTGTGACAGATTGTAGCAGTTTCTAATGTACAGTGGGATGATTTTGGAACATAGGTGATACCACTTGATGTAGTGAAAACTGAGAGGAAGCAGTTTTCTGAAGATGATGATAAACCAAAGTTTGTTAGTCATGTTATTCCTACTTGTGTGAACTGATTCATGGTTTATGTATAGGAAGGGGAACGGCAGAATTTCAACTAGCTTATCTTAATGATATAGATGTGTACACTGTTTTGCTCAAAGCCTTGAATATTATCATTAAACGTCGTCTACTTATTCTCTTTCTATACCCTTTTTTTCTATATTGATGTCACCATTTTTTCTTACCGATCTCTTTGTATACTTCAGTAAGGTGCAGCTACGTGGACTGATGATGCTTTTATGTGTCAGGTTCCATGTTGATTTTCTCGTCTGTCACATGTATGCTCTGTAGTTTCACTCTGAGCTAAATGACACTTCTGGTGTCCCTCGAATTGAGTTAAATATTCCTATTATTATTTAAGATTACGCCAAACAATTTATCCCTTGTGTTAGTTTCTGAGTAAGTGAAGATGTATTTGACTATTTTAGATACAGCTATCTAGTACTGTTACACGTTTGAGCTCTGTTTCATCTAGCAGGATTTAATCAACGAGATTGAATGATGTAATGACATTATTGCCGTTTTTATGTTTCTAGTTGTGGGTTTTATTCACCTTTGTATCTTATGAAAATGTTTTAAAGTGTTCATCGAATTTCCTCTTTCTCTTTAATCAGAAAATGTTTAAAGATGGTGATTTACCTTTTTTACACAGGTGTATTACCTAATACTGTTTTTTGCTGCATTTTTATAGCATGTCATAATGCGTTTACGATCACCGTATACAGTGGCTACAATTTGGTCTAGTGGAAAAATATGGTGTACTGGAGCGAACTCGTAAGTATTGTAATATTCTAAAGATTTCTGATATCTGGTTGATTCTCTCTTCAGTTGATGGTCTCAAGGGTAGTTAACATCATAGACTGATACTGGTTGGAGAACATTAGAGCATTGAACTGCTGTTTCATCCTAGTTCGAAATTCCTCAGTTGTGTGTACCTGCGATCCCGCGGGGGATCGAACTCAGGATGGTCTGGTTTCATGGCAAGCGCGTTACCATTCAACCACTGGGTTGAAGTGCCGTAATCTACTAATTCTTACTTGTATCAGTTTGTGACACAGCGCGACTATCATCCAGTGTCATTGGTGGTCGTCTGCCTCACTTCCGATTTGATTGATCTCACTGGTCACTACTTTTTATTAGGACTTCTAGAAATCCATTTGGAGGCAAGTCACAAATGAGTACAGAAGCTGTGGCTCATTGGTTTGGAGAGATGAGATTCAACCAATGGTTGCGGGTCCGAACCCCGCTCCACCTCTCGAGGTTTGGGCAGCTAAGTAGTAAGTAACATTAGCCTTCATGCAATAGGTATGGCTTATTGCCCAAGGCTGCTGAGTGCATTAAAATAAAAAATAACTGGAAGTAATTCGATCATGTTTGTCGTGATTACATTCATCAGTACCATTGAATTTCAACAGACTAATGTTGACTAGTGTTTAGATCTACACTTTGTTCCAGGGTGTATGCCAAGCGTCCTCTGAATGAGGTATACAATTCGAATGAAATACCGTTATTTTTTTGTAATAATACTTGTAATTTCCTGTTGATGTACAGAGCGGAATTGCTCAACCTCTGTTGGCAGATGGCTATCGTGCTCCAGTGGCTTAGTAGATAACGCTCTGGCGTTTGAATCGAAGGGCACTGGGTTTGAGCCTCGGTGGAAACAGCATCACTCACTAGGATGCAGGTACGTTCACCTGGGAAGTTCCAAATAGAGCGAAACGTGCGTCCTAGATTCCTCTGTTAGTCACTAAGATCAATATAACACAGTTACATTTTTCTATCGAGGCTTATACCACTCAATTACTATTGGAAATAAATAAATATATAAATAATAAATAAATAAATATCGTGTGTTGTGCATATCACTCATAGGAGTTAACATTTCTCAGTATGATGCTATCGGTGTGAACTGTACGAGTACAAGAATGCTCAAATGTAGATGGTGTTCCGAAATCTCAATCTTTTTAAAATTTGGTCTGAGACTAGAAAGTTTATTTTTCATCTCAGTACATTCTCATTTGATGTGCTAATATAAGTGAGGTGTGGTAACTTGCATGGTTATTCAGTAATTCCAGATCCTATGTTGATGTTTGTGTGACTGCGAAAGTTAAGCATACTTTCTCGAACTCAAAAAGAAAGCTATATGGTAGTATGTATACATTTGCAATATACCCTGTGTAAATAAGAAAATCTAGTCTGAATGATAATCTAGGTATGCGTGTAATAAATAAGGCGACTGATCTCTGAGGCGTAAACGCTCATTGATCGCCACTCATTCTCCCTCTCTTTGCGGGTAATAATATGTGTGTAGGTCCATATGTACATTTATATTTATCCGTTTGACCGTTCATATGATTTTCAGAAAAAGGGAAGTATTTTCGCGTGCTGATAATAATGATTATCCATACGTTTTACCACCTGATTATATATATGCATGTATGTACACTAGCAAATAAGGCATAATTACTGCTTTAAATATTCATCTTTTTTCCTATGAAAACATCTAACTTCGTAGCCTGTTTGTTGATTAGTAAAGTAATATTTTAGATATTGTTATGCTGTGTGAATATAATGGACTCAGGTAAGTTTCTTGTTCACAGTCTATTTGGTACATGATGTGTTGAACGGATAATAAACATTCACAAGCTTTATCGCTTAAGCTTCAAGAAAGTCGATCATACTTTTGCTATACTCGTGTTGTACATGTACACCATTTGTTTGCTATGATGTGTCTTTATCGATTTCTCAATAGGATGTATTTAATGTAATGCTAAATAATAATTTGTAAAGGTTACAACCTTGATGAAAATCTTTTGTTTTAATAACAGTAAATAGTTGTCTATTAAAAGCACAGGCATTATGATGTTTAATTGTTCATTCTGTACGTCAAGGTAAATAGTATTGGATAGTCATGTGTAGCACACTCATGTTCATGAGGTCAACGACTGACTTCACTAGTTTCAAAGAGATTAATCAATGTAAATACTTTCATTCAATATACGATCATGCGTCTCCTCGATATATGTGATTATAGTTTAGTTCCCTTGATAAGAACATTTGCAGAATAAAATGACCTCATGTTTTATTTCACAACCCTTCATCAGCCTCAAACAGCCTACAATTGAGAGGAATTAATAGTAGTAATAATGACGTAGCATACTTTAAGTATGTAGAAATAAATAAGGATTTGAAATCCAGGATTAACGACAAGGTGAGTGAGTCAAGGGAATGGAGGATTAATAGCTGCAAGTCTTAGTCAAAATCAGTGGGAATCTATATCCCACGAGACAGAAAATTCTGAAGCTTTGGGAAAGCGGGGGAGGGGGGATACATAGCAATGTTAAAGAAGGGGTTGTTGAAGAGCTAGCAGGTTACACAATTCCCTGAAAAATTGAAATATTGTTAAGTGATGAGCAAGTAATTAATGACGGGATGGTGCAACCAGCTTTAGAATTTTCTGTCTCACCGGATATAGATTCCCATTAATTTTGACCTAAGATTTGTAATTATTAATTCTACGTTTCCTTGACTCGCTACCTTAATGTTAATCCTGGATTTCGAATCTTCATTTGCTTCTACGTATTTAAAGTATGTTATGTCGTTATTATTATTTGTCCCTTGGGCTCCTAGTGGAACATAGCGCTTCAGTTGCACGTCTGCGGTTGCTGGTGGTATTTCTGGATGAATTTCAGGTGGTGGTCGATTCAAGAGCTTTTTGAAGCGGTCAGCCCATTGTTTCATTTGTTTCTCCTCTTTGGTAACTAGGTTTCCTTCACTATCTTTCATTGGTTTCATCTGCGTTGATCTCTTGCCTCCCAGATAGTAACCTGGTTATTTGATATAATGTTGTCAAGTCTGTCCTACCTGCAGTCTGTTCTGCTTCACTTGCCAATGTGTCGTAGAAGTGTCTCTTGTCTTTGCACGGACTCTTCTTCACTTCTTTGTCCAGTGTAGTGTTTTATAGGTTGCGGTCAGTTCCTCTTCTCGTTGTTCACCCTTGCACTGCACTGTTTTATCTTCTGCTTCACCATCTTCCTCTCCTCTATCAGCTTCCGTGTGTCCGTCGAGATTCATTTCTTGTCTTTCTTCTTCTTCCTTCCTAACATGGTTGTGCAGGTTTTTTTCCATATCGCTTCCAGAGTTTTAGTGTTCTTCCACACAGATTTCCTCTGGGATGTTGCTTAGTGTCTCCCATTTTGTCCTGATGGCTGATGTGAAGATGTCTTTTGTAGTTTCGTGCTTCACTTTCTGTTCTGGGTGTTAAACTTGAACTGTAGTCTATCACCAACTTCTTTGAAGGTTCCTTGCACTAGATAGTGAGTGGTGTGAACCTACATCTTGTGTCCACTTGACTGGGTTTCCACTTTCTTCAGATTGAGATGAAGTCGATCTGGTTTTTAGTGTAGTGTGTCCATCCGGTGAAGTCCATGTTGCTTTGTGAATATCCTTGTGTTTGTACACACTGCCTCCAATCACAAAATCATGGAATGCGCAGAAATCTGCAAACAATTGTCTACTCTCATTCATTTCATCGAGTACTTCTCGACCTATGATAAGTTCTCTTCTTGTGTGTTCTGCTCCGAGTTTGGCATTCATGTCACCCATTGGAATGAGTTTTTGATGTCGCCAACTGGGGTGGTGTCTTGTCCTGTACTGATTGCAGTTGTCTGTGGAGTTCCTCCTTCTCTTGATCTGCATTATTTATAGGTGCGTAGCTTGGCATTGTATGATTGTAACTTTCCTTCCTTCCTTTTGAGTTGAATCTTACTGTCATGATCCTGATCCTGCAGGAGGAGATTGGTTCCCACTGCATGAGAGAGAGAAAGAGCCTTTGATGCTCTTGGGGACATCATGGTAGCCACTCCAAAACTCAGTGTGCTCGTGGCTGTCGTCTGGATGACAATATTGGAGTAGATTATTGATTCTCCAGTTGACAGTTTGGAGAGTCCACTTCCATTCCATCTGCTTTCGCAGATTCCCAGCCTAGCACTTCTATGCCATACCTTTTTATCTCTTTGACGATCTGGGCAGCCTTACTAGGTTCATACATAGTGCGGACATTCCATCTCCCCATGTTTACTTTTGCTTTCATCGAGCGAGGACTCATTGGCTGATTGATTTCCCGAAGGCTTTCACCAACTGACGTCATTTCGTCTTTTCGATTCCAGCGAGGAATAAGTTTATTTTTATGTTTTATATTTTCTTTGTGCTTTGGTGTTTATTTATTGGTTGAATTGGTTTTCCAGGATAGGGTTTCTTACCTTCCGTCTTTATCCGGGCTTAGGACTGGCTAGTTAACCAGGCGAGATTTTGTGTCATCATCAGTACTAATGATTCATTTCAACTGTAGGGCGTTTACGGCTGATGAAAGGCCGTGAAATAAAACATGAGCTCATTATATTCTGCAAATATCTTTGTTTTTGCATTGTTCAGATGTGATTATATCGAGTAAATCTCTGGATAAGTTACCGTTATTATCTGAAATATGAATATAATTCAAGTATTATTATCATTTGTATTGCCTTTTATCATTTGATATTTGAGTATATAAGTTGTCCAGTTTATCGAATTTTCTCTTACTCAATTGTTTTGCATTTCTATGTTTCTACTCATTTTTATATGAATACAGACTTACCAAAGCGAAAATCGGGGCTCGACGTATCGCCAGACGAATAGCGAAATGTGGTTTTCCGTGTCGTTTTAGTAAATACCGTGTTGTGAATATAATGGCAACTTGTAAATTACCATTTGGTGTGAGATTAGAAGAATTGGTCCGAGAAAGACCAATGCAGATGAGGTAGGTTTATTTTATTCGACTTATAGTTCATTTACTTCTTTTTTTAATGTTGTGTTAAGTACAGATGATGGTGTCGGTGTGAAAAGTATTTCATCGACTATTATCTATTAGAATAAACATTGATAACTACATGTTATAACAGTCAGAAGTTTGAACCAAATTTTGAATTTTCGTAAAAAGAATTTTAAGCTGCATTGAAACCAAATTCTTATCTAACTTTGCAATCTTGGAATCTCAGATAATAGTTCATAATCAATTGTTTCTTATGCGAAACCTTATATGACAGATCAACCATGTTTAAATTCTGAAAAACTGATCATAACATTCAAACTACTGAACATCTTACTGTCGTTCAATAGTTTGATCTCTTTCTTGAGACATGTTCATTCTACTATTTGCTTGATTTTGTTCCTAAACAAATGCTATTGTTTGTACACTTCAACTTTAATTATCTTTCATTTACTAGATTGATTTGTGTTTTTACAGGGACCTTGCTCAGATTTTAGTAGGTTAGATGAGATGGAAAGTCGACTACTTAATGTAGCAGATTGTAGATCCTGTAAGCCTAAAACAATGATGCTTTCTGAAATATACGACATGGTTGATCAAAGTCATGCTCATAAATTTGACAGATAAAATCAACGTAGAACCTCGCACACAGGTGTATTGGTTCAGGTTGCCACACTTCACAGTAGTATACAAAGAATCAGTGGATGGAAAAGACTGATATCAGAGTAGGTAAAAGTGTATGTCAGGAGAGAGAATTTTAAAATTAAAGTTGGTCAAAACATTCAAGGTTTAAGAGAAATCTCAGAATAAGTTTGTACCACTTTGACGTATTTTCGACCACGTCACTAAGAGTCCTCAACCATTGATTCTTATCATCTCCTGGACCCCAGCAACGTAGTCTACACCTCCCTACACAGCTTGGACCAAAATTCAGTGACTGGTGCTACTTAGTCTGACCACTCTGGACCTTCGATCCTGATCCAGCTTTTTCTAGCCTGTCACTTCGAGGTAACCAGTGTCTCGGCATGCACATGTTCAAGCCATCTCAATGGATGAAGGTTCACAACCTCATCGACTGACTTGCCTTCTTTCCCTAGAAATCTTCACCTAACCTCTATATTGCTCGCGTGGTGATTCCATCATACGCAATCACGGCTACGAAGACATCTATGATCAAAAACTTGCAAATGCTTCCACTGCCAACAAAACAGAACAAACTACAATGCAGTATACCCGTCTTTTAGTAGGTATTCAGATTTCTTCTCAGGTGGCTCCAGAGATGACTCAAATTGGCAAATGCCAAATAGGCCTTTGTCTCCGAGCTGAGATTTCGTCAGAGACAAACCCGTCCGAGCTGATGAAACTTTCTGGGTATGTGAAGTAGTCGACACATTCCACCACCTCATTCCCTATCATTAATCTGGGACTTGGTGCAGCAGACTAGTTTTGGAGTATTATCTTACATATGATAGGGGCGAAACGCATTCCAAATATACTCAGATTTCCGCTTATCGCGTTTAGAAGACCCTACATTTCGTCAGCGTCTTTGCCTAGCAGGACAATGTCATCTGCGTACTCCAAGTCAGTCAGATGCTTTTCAGGGAGTAGATCAATCACTGTGAAGTCAGGCTTGCCTAAGGTTGTATCCATTTGCAAATCTATGACGAACTTAAATCGGAACGGTGATAGTGGACATCCCTGGAGGACACCACTAGTTGTCATGAATTCAGTTGACGATTCTCCATAAACCTCAACATGGCTGTGTGAGTTTGGGTAGAGAGCTTTGATAAGCACTATATACTTGCTTGGTACTCCTTCCACATTCAGGTACTGCTGTAACACTTCACGGTCAACAGAGTCGAGTGCTGATTTCAGGTCGAGAAATATGGCGAGTTTTGGCCGCCGGTAAGTGTGTGTGTGTGTTTCAGAAGCTGTTATAGGGCGAAGATGTGATTGAAGCGTCCTCGTTCAGGTCTGAAACCTGCTTGGTTCTCTTGAGTTTGCTGTTCTCGAGCTCCAGTTAGGTGTCGAATGACTATGAATCAAGTGGTGCAATGTTGGTTGGACTAATTCCCCTATGGTTGTCATAGAAAGAATTATCGCCCTTCATGTAGGCTGGAACGATCAATGAAGTAGATCAGTATGATAGGATCACCTCCGTCATTCTTATCAGTAATTTCTTTATCTGCATACTTAAGTTTTTACTTAAAGTGCGGAATCGTTCAGATCCTGCAGCTTTGCATCGTTTCAGGTAAGAAACAGCTTTCTCAACTTCACAGGAAGTTGGAGGACGGAAATATGCGTCCCATTTAAGTCCGAGCTGAATGCTGGGCAGCTGAAATGTTGCTGCAGACCAGTTAACGTTTTCTTCAGTGTTCTGGCTAACGTTCTAGCCGTGTATCCTAAAGGCTTATCAGGGTATCATCCTTTTCGGGGATGGTTTCACTCAAGATCGTTTTCTTGGCCGTGCCCTTAATAAGCCTGGTGTTACCTAACGCTTATGCCTTTTCCATCTCTCTTGCTCCCACCACCCACGACTATTTGCGATCATGGCGAAGACTCTTGTTCAATTTACGTTTAAGCTGTTTTGGCTCTTCATTGTGGTTTCCAACTGCCTCTGCCACTGTTTCTACAGTAGACTTAATATCACTCTAGGTTTTCTCAGGGTGAGCATAGCTGTCACGTTCAGGTAAATGCTTAGCTATCTGTTGCCTAAATTCAAACTTGATGTTCTCATTTTCCAATCAAGCACAGACAGTATTCAATGTCGGGTGTTCTTTGCGACCAGTAAGGCGCAGACATACATGAGTCAGTACTAGTGCATGATCGCAGTCTAAACAGGTACTCTAGAAAGGGCGCCAATCTTCTCTTGTGTAGGCTCAAAGCAATATGATCTGTCTGTGTCCATCTTCGGTTTGATGTCATCGAACGCCATGCAAGACATTGTCTCTCCTTGTACTTGGAGTTAGTGTTTACCCGATCAAGTGGTTGTCAAAACAAAGTTGCGACAGACGATCACCGTTGTCGGTTCATTGGCATAGGATTCCATAGTTACCCATAAGATGTCTTTCCGAGTAGTTCAGCTTCCCTAATTGAACGTTAAAACCACCCGTAGGGGGCTACGCACCCATAAATGGGCATCGGTTAGTCGCCCGATGTTTCCTGGTTTTGAACGATGCATTTAGTCTAACAGTATACAGACAGCTGTTGACTGGTATCCGGTTGAGAAGCTCACTTTCTTTTCTACAACTCAATGTTACGCTTAAACCAGCAAGTCTACTGGTCTCCGGGTACTCTTAAGGTGGATTTTGAAGATTCACCGCACTGGTTGGTTGAAGTCAGTTTAATAACCACACTGCGATCGTGTATACGTGTCTTGGAGACACAGCATACATTCCATGTCTTGAGATCCCAGAGTTCTCACGAGTGATAGTTGCTGTCCAATTTGGTATGGAGTTTGAACGCTGAAAGCCCCAATCAATGGCGGGGTCTTAGGAGACTAAAAAGGAGGTTTCGATGACTTTCATCGTTGACAATGGTCTCTGGGTGAAAGGTTAAGGAAGGTGTAAGAAGCTTAATGCTAGTATCAAGAGCTGAAAGCAAAGGTGAAGTCAGAGTTGTATTCTATAGATTATATTTGATTGGTTCTTGAATACTACCGGAAGCATGCGGGTAGTGTGTATTCTCGACTGCCCACTTCACGGAAGGCTATTTCGTGAGGTACCTGAAAGAGAATATGATTTATATTACCACAGAGGCCATGGAATATCTACTTGAGGCCTTTCACACAGCCTTTGTAAGGTTCTTGGTGTGAGGTTTGCTTGTTCTAACACCAAACAAAGAGAATCCATGCCACCGGCAGCGTGGGGCTTGATGAAGTGTTATTTTCGGGGCTGACTTTTTCTAACCCACCTTCCCATAGGAAAGACAGAATCAGCGTGCCACTGCTGGCCATCCAAGAGAAACACCTTACTAATATCACATACAGTCAAGAGTACGACTTCGCCATAGTGTTGGAATTTACACGCCAGTAGTAACTGCTTTTCATCTTATCACTGTCGAGCAGACCCTTCTTGCATGGTAGGACCTCGAGAGGACAAGTGTTCCAGCCAGTGTAGCTCGTTGTGTCATTGCGTTATGCAAGCCTGACTACCACGTCAAGGTGGCAGTTATCATTTGGGGGTGCTAATAAACAACTAAGCTACAGCTGTTTATGAAATCGATTTCAGCATAATCTTCTCTCTATTCCTTTCCTTTTCTTTTACTTGTTTATCGATAAATTGCATTTTTGAAAAGTGATTATTGTTTGTATGTCAGTTCTTTACAATGTTTCCTATGTACTTTAGGTATCGTATGCTATTTGACTTGTCTTCTGCCTCGAAAGTATTCGTTCTTATTTATTTGCAACAGAATAATTTGAAGTGATATATAATTATTGCTTAAAAGTATTGATGTTTAGATTGTACATAAGGTAGGTGTTTATGCTACAACGGAAACATCTCATGCGGTATCATCATAGAATAACCATATTTCTTTCAAAATCACAGTATGTAAAGCAATAAGTTGAAATGGTCGGCATCCAGGCCACACTCACGAGGGTTTATAAGGCTTATAGCCAAACAAACAATTTACATAAATTTAAAAGGAATATTTTTAAGCCTTGTTAACATTTCGAGCAAAATTACTATCCATGATCAAATCAATAGTTGAAATTTATAACTAAGGATTTTTTCATATGATTGCAAATATCAGGACAAGGTAACTACAGTGTTGTTTTTTATTTCAATGGGGTTCGTGTTGTTCCTTGTTTTTAATTCTAATCGCGGATAGATCAGCCTAAGTCTCTACACTCTTCAGAAGCACGGACAGATAAATGAACAGACGTATAGGATATAACAAAGGAGAGCACAAATAAATTCAGGTTGATAGTGTTCAAAGTTTGCATCACTGGGATCAATTTTAGGCCACGCTATTCCTGGTCTTCAACCATTGGTTTTTAACATTTCAGTAAATTCAACTGGGTGGCACACGCTGGCTAACGTTACTGATTGATGCCATTGCTCTGCATAGGCGCTTTCTAGTTTCTAACCTAATCTTACTTCATACGATGCTTCCCTTTCAAAACTTCGAACAAAGCTATTATTGTTCTTCTCCTGGCTTTGTTCACTGAGGTGGATAGTGATTCGGAATACATACGTAAAACAGATTCTAACCACTTTGGTTGATGATTAATTTGACTTCCCTACCTAGAATATTACATCTACAGTCAATAGTTTTGACTTCTTACTTCAACAATGTATGGACAGTTCAACAAAGATACCTTTAACCTCATTTCTTTCACCTTCAATGAAATAATGGGACAAAGTAGTCATTATTTTGGTGTTTGTATTTTTCACTGAATACAAAACTAACGAAGATTGTTTTAGCATTACCACTGCGAAATACAAATACCAAAATAATGACTATCATCTACCCAATGGAATGCCAAAATTTTTTCAAACCATAGAATTCAAACTTATTTTTGGATATCCATATAGCAAAGTAGTAGTGTATTGTGCATTATATCTGTGATAAACAAATGGGTACTTCACTGGTTGCAAAGATAACGTTATTTTTAGTTTATTCTGAATGGGAAATGTCAGAATTAATGGTGTTACAATCGAAAGATGGATTCACGTTCAGTATGCTGTTTTATTTTATGGATACAGCTGTGTACTGTTAAAGTTCATGTATTATTATTCTTGGTCATCAAAACCTTGTTAACTTCACAACACTTCAAGATGCAACCCTAGACTTAGTATTCCTCAATAATACAGATATATATGAAACTCGAAAGAGATCCTCACTGCTCAGCCCAAATCATTTCATTATACGTGTTTTGCCAAAAATGTATTGCAAGCTATACAAAACAGCCTTCATATATTCGAAAATTGTACATAGAAACTATTCACTTAGTGTAACATACTTAGTCCTAAGAGAAATGCTACAATGTACAGACTGGTATATATTTGACAGGGATGTTTTGAACGATACTATTGGTGGTGTGGCATGCTATCTGAAGTTGTATCTGGACATCTGTTGCCCCAGTGAAAGGCTTTTTCTCTACTTCGACTGTATATCTTCTCCCCAGTTTAAGAGAGTAAGAAGAGAAAAAGAAAGACTATATAAAGTAACTGAATGCTAGTGCTCGTCGACTGAACATTTTAATTAGGCTGGAAATTAAACGTCGCAGTTTACTATATAACCAGAAACGTTCGTCATACAAAGACTCTTCCATCATGTGGAAACTTTTAAAGACCTCATTGGTAGTAAACACCTTAGTAAAGAAGTACATGTCGACGTCTGTGTTTTGAACAAATCGTTTATACGTCAGCCCACTTGTCCCATCCCACTTTGTTTACATTTGTCCAATGAGGAATTTTGTCCAGAGTTTACCGCGAAAGATGTTTTCAAATATCTCAAGTCCCTGAACCCATCACACAGTTCAGATGCGGATGGTATGTCAAGCTTCGTATTCACGAAGTGTGATGATATTTAATTCCATCCATTAGCTAGCATGTTCAATAGATCATTTTTAGAAAATACCATATCAGCTACCTGGAAAGATATTAAGATAGTCCCCGTACGTAAGTCAGGGATTCCAGGCACATGTCCGAAATTCCGTCCGATCGCAGTTACCTCTCCGTTCTTGAAAATAATGGAGAAGCTAATAATGCTTGCCCTCGAACCCTCACTTGAAGGCTTTCGGAGACCCTAATCAATTTGCATATGAAAGCAGAAGAAGCGTTTTGAATGCCATCACTATTTCACGATATTGCTTATAGTCTTGATAGAAATGCCAAGTATGTCAGGTGTGCTTTTTTTGCCCATACTTTGGCATTCGATTCTCTTCCGAGACCTCTTTTGCTGGACAGGCTAACTGGGACACATACTGAGTCCTGAATAATCAGCTGGCTTCATTCGCATTTCTGTGAAAGAAAATAACATACTGTTTACAGAAGGGAGCACTCTACCTCATTGCTTACTGTGACTGGTGTTCTTCAAGGAACTGTCCTTTCCCTGTGTCTTTCCTCTGTCTTTCTGCATGACTTACCATCTGTAGCTGATATCAATTTTGTGAAATATGCTAATGATCCAGCAGTTTCCATATTTATCTCCTCTTCAGCAGATTGTTCTCAACTGAATGGTTACCTGTCTATCGTTAGACGATGGTCCTCCAAGAAACAGTCTTATGCTTAATTCTTCAAACTTCAGTTTTAGACGTGAGCATAACCTATGTAAACTGCTTAGTTTTCATGATTCTTGTTTGGTTGATAGTTGTTCATTAGAGGATATTGCAAGTGTGATTTGTCTTGGTGTGTTTTTCTTCGGACGTTTCCTGGTCTTTCCATATCAGTTTGCAAGAGAATTTTCCACCTAGGTTTCTGCATTGGGAAGTTGAGAGTATCTGGCATAACTGAGCCTCTCTTCTTGTGTTTTATAAACTCCTGCATGTTGGTTGTTCTCGTCTATTGTTCTTCTTTATTTTTTCGCTGGTTGTTTAAAAAGACTATGGTATATTGTATAGAACTTTGAAGATTGTCGATAGAAGTAGTGGTGTACCTCTAGATTTTCTAGTTCAAACTGTTGTGAACAAGCATATTAAGTCATGTAAATATCTGACAGGAGTTATTTTATTAGATGATCAACATCCTCTTCACTGAAAGCTCTCTGCTTGTTTGTCATCTGGAAAGATGAGGAGCAAGTATATGTATATAAGAGTCTGTAGACGTGCTACAAAATATAGAAACTCTACGATACCGTATTTGTCTCGTCTGCCGTGTGGTGGAGAAAGTATTAGAAATGAATTGACGAGTCAACTTCCGTTTTCGAAAGCAAACTAATTGATAAGTACACAGCAGGTTACTACTGATGTATTATGAATCTGATTACTAATGTGATTGTGTACCTGAATTAACTATGGATTTTGAAGAATACTGTCAATCAGTCAATCAATATCAACATAGGACCAAGCATTACTGCGTAACGGTCCGAGTTGTCACACCTCAAATCACCACATCACGTAAAAAGGCAGTGAAGTGGGCGATGGAGATAAGAGAATATTGTAGATTGAGTGAATATTCTTGTCTTAAGAAAAAATGAGATTACTACTTTTTCCATTTTATAAGCTGTTTCTGTTGAATTGATGCTATATGACATGCTGAAAATTCTGTAGAGTATTCCCGAAGCAACTTTCAGAATAAAGTCATTATTATTATTGTTACCATTATTTAGAGGTAGTATTCATCATGGACTGATATCAGTCGGGGAACCATTGAAAACCTGAGAGCACTGGACATTTTTTCGTCCTAGTATGGAACTCCTCGGCAATATGGACCCACGACCCAGCTAGGGATCGAACCTTGAACCCAGGACTTTATGATTTCACGGTGAACTCATTAACCATTCAGCTACTGGGTCAATTTTCAGTGGTTCACAGTTTCCAGCTTCTGTCAATTCACGATATACCATGACTACCATTATTATTACTATTGTTATTATTATTATTATTATTATTATTATTATTATTATTATTATTATTATTATTATTATTATACATTTGCATGACAACACTTATTTATATATCTTAGCTTTTATTCAGTCACCTTTTTTTCTTCTACTCTTTTTCCTTTTAGTTATGAACCCGAATTAGCGCCTGGTCTCACATTTAAAACTGATCCTAATTCAAGTACATCTCTTAAACTTTTTTCTACAGGACGAATTGTAATTATGGGTAAGTTTAATGTTTTTTAAAAAAAATTATGTCTTCTGATTATGTTTCGGTTTGATCCTTTTGTTATTTCAAATTACTGACACTATCAGTGTGAATAAAAATAATCGTTATCAAAATTAATGACAACACGATAACTAATTTAGGTGTCATGTCGTGAATGCTAACAAAAGGTTTTTGATAATCACATTAGTTATCGTTGAGTTAAATGTGTATTTGTATTTCATGTTAATTTATTGTATGTATCAGCTGGCTTCCACTAGCCCTACTGTTGTAACGGGTAGTTTAGATTTATTCTCTAATGACTGTCAGTTGCAGCTAGAAAGGTGTGTGCAGGCCACTGACCAAAAAAAAACAGAAAAATTAGGTGGCTGAAGAAAGTTTTTTAACTGTAAAACTTTCTTATCAAAGATGGGAATCAAATTATTATTATTATTAATTGTTTGTCCCTTGGGTTCTAGTGGAACATAGGGCTTCAGTATCATGTCACCATTTGACTCTCTTCTCCGCGGTCTTTTCAACCTGGCACCATGACTACCCACAAGCTTTCATTTCTTCTTCATACCATCTCCTTCATGTCATCCTCGGACATTCAACTCGTCGTTTCCCCTTTGGATTCCACTCGAGGACCTTGGCCTAACACGTGATGTCCCCAAATGGTCTTCTCAGTGTATGCCCGATCCATCTCCATTTTCTTCTGCATATTTGTTGGGTTGTTGGTTGGTTTGTTGCCAGGTCAGAGTTCTTTGTTGCTTACTCTTATTATTCTGGCCACCTTATCGATGTTCACTATCGAATGAGCGTAGACCGCAGCTGTTCATGAATGTCTGTAGTTTGTTGGAAATGCTGTTCGTAATGCGCCAAGTCTCTGAACCATCACATGGAAGCACTTACTTAACATTAGTGTTGAAAATGCGGATGTTGTTCACGCTATATGCTGGGTGCAGTGCAGTGTATTGACATTCTCATCTGTGCCACATGTAGTCTAAACGATGCTGCCTAGGTAGGTAGGTGAAAGACACTACTTCCTGTAGGTTTCTCCCGTTGATGGTGATTAGTGCTTGTTGTTGCTAGTCGGTTGGGTATCTTCATCACCTGTGTCTTCTCTACGTTCACCTGAAGGAAGTCCAGTATTCCCTACCCCTACCTCTTCTGCCAACTTGTTGGTTTTTGCCTGTAGATCTTCGAGCTCGTGCAACATTAGACATAAATCATCGTAGGCGAAATTCAAATCTTGTAGGGTCTTTTCATCGGTTAAACAGCATATGCTCTTCTCACAGTTTCTTGTATAATCCAGTCCAGTCGACCACAATGAGGAATGTGATGTATAACAGTAGGCGGCAGCCTTGTCGTACTCCTTCCTGTCTTCACTTCAAAGGCATCACTGAGCTTTCCATTGTGAATCACTTGGCATATGGCGTTGTCATGCAGCTGTTGAATGAGGTTGATAAAAGTTTGTGACACTAAAACTGTAGTGTTGAAGCAGTTTTCAAATTACTTCTCGGTCCACGCTGTCGAAGGCGTTTTCAAAGTCGATGAAGTTGAGTTGACTGATATTCTATGCTGGGTTCTATGATGATGCGTAGTGTTGGAATTTGATCCACACATGATTTGTTTTTCGTGAAGTCAGCCTGTTTCGGTCGTAATTTTGAATCCAGCGCATTTCTTAGTCTCTCTAAGACAAGGTTTGTCTAGTTATTCTCCCTCTTCCTTTATGATAAGTGTATTAGAATTTTTGCTATATTTGAAATACGTACTGAATCATTCCTGTTGCATGTATTTGGTGTTGATTCGATAAACTATAGTACGGTTATTAAGATTTCTATCCACTCAGTTGAGTTGGTTTTTAATACTATCTCTCAATCCCATGTTGCTGTGTGATTGTGTATAACTGTGTGCATAGCTATAATGTAGCTTTTCTCTAGACTCCTTATCTTATTAGGACCTATCAATTTTGAGTTATGTTGATGTGACAACCTGACCGAGCCTGATTGACTACTTTAACCTGTGTGTTTAACCTCACAATCACTGGAATGAATTGGTTATTTCGATTTCATAATTGAATCAGTGGGATCTTTTTACTTTCAAAGCTTGTATGTAAGTTGGTTTGCAGGTTTAAATGCCGCTCTAATCGCAGCTTTATTGAAAATTCTTTGTAGTCCATCTGAGGTGCATTCCTTTTTCAGTAACTCAGTAGAGGATTGAAGTCCCGTTTTATACTATCACCATTATTACCACTACTACTGCTACCACCACAACCATCACTATTATTATTAGTGTTACTGTTACTACTAGTATTTTTCTTAGTTTCTTATGAATTTATTCATAAATCTAGGTCGGTAGTTATTGAGATATAAGGTGTTCTTAATATACATAATTTCCTGTTGTACTAGCAAGCTTTTTTCCCTTCTACATGAACGTCTAGCCATTAGCTGCGACAGAGTGAGACAATTTGAAGCATGACATGATTTCAATGGGAGTGTTTCTTACAGACACTAGTGTCTTGTCTTCATTTTCTCCTCCAATCTAACATCACTAACTCCCCTTGATCACTTTCTAATTCTTAGGTAAATTGGATTGCGTTTACTGGTGAATTTATGTGTGTAGTGAACACTCTTCGTGTGCTCCGGTTTCATTTCTGTAACCGACATACCTACATCATTTTTTTGGGGGTAGAGCTAAATGTTTCAAGGTTTATCCGTTTTCAACTGCCAATAAGTTTGTCTGCCATGATAGAGGGGGATATTACTTGTTTATATACTTTGCTTTTAGATTTGAAAATCATAGACCATATACTTCTAGTATAATTTCCTCAATAGGCACTTTAGTTCGATGTATATGCTCATGGTCATTATTGAGTCTATTTCGTACTGCCTCAAGAGCCATGCTAATCGATGTATTGGTATCTAGGTAGTTTTCATCAAAACTAACCATTTTTTTCACTGCCGTAAGGTTTGCATTTTCAACGGTTTCTGATTGGGTCTAGCTAGTACCATTGCTTAATACTTAGTCAACACTTAAGTTGGAGTTTCTAAAATCCTCTATAGATTTGATGGGATAACGTGGCATATGAATTTTAGTAATACCATAAATTCTACTGGGATTATTAAGTCTTGGTATTGGATTTCAAGCCATTTTGACTCGCCTAGAAACGGCTTCATTTGGCATATCAGATCCACTGTGAATTTCCTTACCTCATTCGTAATAGTATCCTCTGGTTTCTTAATTTCTTCATATAATCCTTTTTGGGTGGTTGTTCGTGATCAGATGTGTTCAGCACAACCATTGAGCTGCCTTTATCCGATTTAGTAATTGCTATCATTCTGAAGGTTCTTCAAAGCTTTCTTATCTAGTTTTAATGAGAAAAACTCGGTTTCATTTTCTTCTTTCGTTTTAATGCTAGTGCACATTGTGGTCGTTCTTCAAATGAAACTGTCTTATCTCTTGAATTTAACGCTCTTTCTTTCCCGGGAATATTATCTTCAAGTTTCAATAGACTAACCGCTATATTAAAATTGAAACATTTCTCTAACACTTTTCATTGTGTTGAGCTTGAGTTTCTGGATAAAAAAATTGACAGTTCACTTTGATAATTGATGATGTGATATTGGCAATTTGATTATTGTTAACTGCATAATTTTCTTCCATCCGTTTCTTGAACTGATTGACTAGAGTATTTTTGGATTTTTTAAGAGTAGCTGGTTTGTCTTTTTTTTGCAGTTTTGATCGGAAGCTCATAATCTCTTCTATTAACTGACTTCATCAGCTTAAATTTTGATTCTCCAATATAATTTCGGATATTGTGCAACTTCTGAACTGTTTCTATGAATTTCTTCTTTTCAATAGACTTTATTGTTACATTCTATCTCTGCTTTAGCTTTGTCTGTTTGTATTGGTTCACATAGACATGGATATCTAAGAATGATTTAGTTTCTAAGACATTTATTATTGAGTATACGTTGATTTATCAATCTGTATTCTGTAAAAATCGTGTGTATATGTTGTTCCGTCTACTAATAGACTGACTATACGTTTCATTAATGTAGGAGTAAAACTTGGGTACTGTTTTAGATTGTAATTCTGTTGTAATGTGTTTATTGTATATATAACTCAGTGAGACAATATGATTTACTAGATAACGTTTCGGATGCAATTTATTGTCCATATTCATATCAGGTAACTTTACAATTTTGAGATATGGTTTATACAGTTATAATTCTCTCTACTCCTTTATAATAAGGGTATTAGAATTTTCTGTACACTTAAAACAGCTGCTGAATCATTCTTGTTGCATACTGGTTTACTTCACTGATCATTCCAGTCTGTAAAGAGGGAGATAAGTCTTGTTGTAAATAACATGGGGGAATCAGTTTAACTGACATTATATCCAAGATCCTAGGCATCCCAGTTTATCGATGCCTTAGTGGAGCTTGAGAACAGTAAAGTCGAGAAAAGCAGTCAGGTTTCAGAACTGGGCGAGGGTGTATCAGTCAGATTCGCTTCTTTCTTCAGTTTGTGGAACAGTCATACTGACTAGTGACAATAGCAGTGTTTCTCAGCGTGAAGGCGACACTCGACGATGAGATGTAATGGGAGCGTATGAGTATGATTGGAATATCGAGAAATTTGACTATTCTATTTGAAGTGCTTTACTCAAACCCATGCTGTGTTAGGTGAGTGAATGTGAGTTGACAGCAAATGTTGGTGTCCGTTCAGGATGTTGGGTATCTCAAGTGTTATTTAAGTTGGTTATAGACGCTTTAATGTGTGTGAGCCTGTATAGCTTGTAATTGTGACAGATTGTAGCAGTTTCTGATGTACAGTGGGATGATTTTGGTATATAGGTGACACCACTTGATGTAGTGAAAACTGAGAGGAAGCAGTTTTCTGAAGGTGTTGATGATAAATCAAAGTTTGTTAGTCATGTTGTTCATACTTGTGAAATGTACGATCATACTACAGTACTTTTGTGAACTGATTCATGGTTTATGGATGGAAAGTTAAGTGGTAGAATTCGTTGACGACTTCATGAGCTTAAATAGGTTAGCTTTCCGGGGAATCTCGACTCCTTTGCACAATATACTTTTTGCTAGTTTGGGTTATCCGTAGCACCTGCGAGATATCTGACTACCAATTTAAGGACAAGTATACTGCGCTACAGTCCGTCCCGTCGTCCACTGCGGTGGATTTGGCTGTCGGAAGTCAAGGATATGAAGTGATTACGTGTCTTTGAGCATTTGTGTCTTCGTGACATTACTAGCAAGTGGTGAAATTACCGTGTAAAGAGTATTGAGGTTAGGCGGAGCCGGTTTTGAGCCTATAGCAACTGATGTCTTGAACATGTGTTGCGCATGTTGAGCTTCCCCCTGCGTTGACGATCGATTCGATTTGAAGTAGAATTGGTTTGAAAGAGTGCTGAAGATTTCCAGATCAATAGTCCTAGAAATCTCTATTTTTTTGTTGGAAGATGTAATCTGTCAGGTTGTAATCCTCAAGGCTGTTGTAATCGATGTTTAGGGACTCTTAGTAATATGATTCAAATTCGATCATAATGGTCCATATGTGTATATTCTACTGTGTTCAAAGCTTTGGTTATTTTTATCGAAATTCACTATTTATTCTCTCTTTTTTTATCCATTTCCGTCTATATTGCAGTCATTATATTCTTTACCGACCTCTTTGCATACTTCTTTAAAAAGTGGCAACCTAAACCAAATACACTTATGTGTCAGGTTCCCTGTCACTTTTTGTGTTTATCCTCGAAAGTATTTTATTTCTTTTAGATCCAAAAGTTAATGATTTTCTACTGAATTTGATTTTAGGTTCTAGTTTAGATGCAATCGGTTCTTTGGTTGAAGAGTTAGTCCCTGTAGCTGCATTGCACCAAACAGATGAACCTCTTGCGGATGCTGAAGACATTCAAGAACGTGATGAAGCCCGAGCAGCGTTAAAAGCAGCCCGTTATATGAATATGATACCGGATGATGGTTTTGGTGGTTTGGTTTACGGTGTTGAAGAAGAATATGAGAATAGCGAAGAAAGTGACTACGAAGATGGTGTTCGAAATGGTTTCTCTACGGATGATTCAACTGACAGTGGTGCTTCCATTGACAGTGGAGGTGTCAGCACCAAAGTGAAGCGTCGTATCAAGCGTAAAACATGTGTACCTAGTATATCAGATTCTGGGTCATCTGTATCCAAACTACGAGGCTACGATTCATTACAATCTGGGCTGTCACGTCACTTGTTGACTCCAAGAGAAGCTGCTAGTTTGGCATTCTCTAGACGTATTGCTGGAGATGTTGAAGGAGCTCGCGATTTAGTTGCAGCGGCTGGTGAATTAAGACGTCAGCATGAATTACTTCAAAGAACAGGTCAAAGTAATATGTCAAGTGATGTTCAAACAGAAGGTCGTTCAAATTTCCCTCAAAATGATCCTACATGGTGCCGAAAAGCTGTGGCTTCTGGATCTACGAAACGTGCACGCGTGGTAACCTATTCTGGAACAGAGGATAGTGAAACGCAGGATTTATTTAACACTCCCGAGCAGCGTAATCAACAAGTTTTTCCCCAACCTACTGTCTCTATTATTGAACAACAACAACAACAAATACAACAATCACAAATCTCTCAACAGCAACAAGAAGTGAAAATTATTCATACACCGCCTGGAATTTCACTAAGCCCAACAAATCCTACATCAGTATCTAGTGTAATTACTCCAATGAATACAGTTGCCAATTCCCTGCAGTATGTTTTTATTAAACCTTCGACAAGTTTTGGTCAAACTGTTTACAACAATGTAGATCCAACTGTTCACTTTTCTACACCATCAATGACACCGATACAAACAAATTCGCTTATTCGTCTATCCATACCTTCATCAATTGGTATGGTGGATGGTCAAAGCCTTCAAGGAAGTGTAACCTCAACACCCGCTTCTGTTTATCCTATCCGTTTATCGAATAATGTTACACCGAACTTTATTTCACCAAACGATGGAAAGGTTAGTCTTAAGTTTATGAAATGTTCAACTAATAATGCAGTTATAATCAAATTGCAGTGAGACTATGGATATTTAGCTTCTTTTTACCCAGGTTTCTGTATTTCTATATTATCTTTGGGTATGTATGTGTGTGTATTTATTTATGGTGATTTGGCTCCTCCTACTCATTGTTGTTGTTGTTGAGGTATCCAGCTAACAGTTGATGTCTTCCTGCACTGTGAAGATGCAATGAGTTATGCTTTATGGTTCTCTTCAGGTTCTCTATCTTCATCTAAGTAAACAAATTCAGAGGAATACTGTAAAGTTATATAAATCTCTATTTGTGTATGTTGGATAAGAACTGTGATTATCAACAGTATTGTTGATGCTGAACATGAATTGTACACCGTGAATATTGTTTCACCTTATTTCAATTTATATTTAAAACGAACTAAACACTTTATAACGCTTAATTTAGGCCTTCAAAAAAAATTATATACATTTATGTTATCTACAGTGAAGTATGAGGATCTTGAATGCTGTGAATATCATTTCTCATCTGAAGTAATGAATAACTTACTGTTGATGATTATTATTCATATTCACTGATCTGTGTGTGTTTGTGCACGTATGTGTATTATATCTGCATCGCATATGTAGATAATTGATCATCTTCACTGGATTTCGGTGAACTGTTAGATGCTTACTATTTTGTCGTTTGCTTTCACTTCATTCAGCTTACTACTTTTTTTTTTTTAACCCGCTCGTCTTCCAACGCATGTATATATACATAACTTTTTACGTACAATTGTGTTTGTATGCATGTGTTTTAGTGTATATCTATAAGGGATGGTTGGTTGGTACTTGGTTGTCATTATTTCTTTGTCCCTTGGGTTCCTAGTGGAACATAGGTCTTCAGTAGCACGTCTGCAATTCGCTCTGTTTTCTACAGTGTTTTTAACCTGGTTCCACGATTGCCCAGAAACTCTCATTTCTTCCTCACACCACCTCCTCCATGTCACCCTTTCCTCGGACGCCCAACTCGCCGTTTCCCATCTGGGTTCCACTAGAGTGCCCGGCACATGATGTCCCGGAATGGTCTTCTCAGTGCATGCCTAATCCATCTCCACTTCCTTCTGCATATTTGTTGAGCGATAGGTTATTGGTTGGTTCGTTGCCAGCTTGGTTGTCATAATTGATATTATTAGCAGTGAATATAAATATAAGTGGTGGGTCAATAGCTTCACTTCTAGCTAACAAGTGACAATGTAGTATGAGTAAAATGATGCTATCTCAATGGATCTTTGAATGTCACTAGCATACATACAGTGAATACATGTATACATGCCTTTGAAGGGAATTACTGAGGTTTATGATTTCAATGCGGATCAGTTAGACTGGTTATACTTTGTACCCTGATAATGTGTTCATTCTTAGGTAATGGAGTACAAAATTTGGTGAATATATACACTATCAATACAAGTCTGCGAAACCATAGCTGTCTCAGATAGTCAAACTGATTATGTGCATTTGTCATATATATATCATGAATAGGTGCAGTTACTTCTTTTGTGTATCTCAGTGGTGGATAGTGCCAAGCAGTGGAATCTGGGACACGCATTTTGTCCTGTTTGGGATGTATCTGCCTCCCACTGGGACTTGAACTCAGAGCTGATCGCTTCAAACGCCAGAGTCTTATCCACTACACCACACCGAGTCATGAATATGTGTAGGTAATGGTTAAGAAGACATATAGAAAGTCGTTGAGTAGTCTGTAAAAGCAATCAAGTCATTTAACAGAAATGGATATTATTGCTGAGTGATAATCTTCTATTGAGTAGGTTTTATTCGCTACTCACTTCTGTTTCATTAACGATGTTTCGATATACCGGTAAAATTACAAGCGAAGCGCATTAAAAGTCATTTCTGACTAATCTAATAAACGCGGACCATATTAATGTTATATGCATTTGATACTTTCTAGCTAGTTTACATATCGGTGTCTACCAATTAATATTGTAAGCAAACTTGATAATAAAAGCTGAATATATGTGTGTTCATGTATTCAGTATCAGGGAAAGTAAAATTTGTCAACGTTTATATATATATATATATATATATATATATATATATAATATATATATATAGTTTATTAATTAGCTTACTCATAAGTAATACTGCAACGTATAAAAAAAGTGTTATGTGAAATAGGCATTAAGGATTTACAGTCTAACGCATACTAGTTCAATATACCACATTAGTGGGAAAGTCAAAAAAAGAGGTAAAGTGGGCTGGTTGAAAATCACTGATGACAATGGTACCAATTTCTAAGTCAATATGAAGTATAAACAATCGTGTTGTACTAGGAGTCAATTGAAAATAGCATATGCATGTATCTGCTCTACGGTGACTGATGAACATGTTTTTTTATCCCCAGAAAAACAGTATGTATTACTTCCAATCAACTGGTGTATAGTTTTTACTCTATTGAGGTTAAGTAACTGCAATGTCGAAAACCGATTCCTACTGTATAGAATACTTGGTCCCTATTGAATGTCCTTGTGAAGTTGTGGCTCATTGGCTTATGAACCTTACTATCATAGGGTGGTTCATCGCCCCTTAACATTCGTGTGGTTCATTTACTAGTGTACGAAAGTGATGTTTAGGGAGTATGGTTTCAGTTACTTTGTTGACTAGCCTAATTGAAGAGGTTCTTGGGCTTGACTAACCATAACAGCTATCTCTCAACGAAGGTAGTTTTTCGGGCCTGTTTAAACAAATGGATTAAAGGCCACCCTAATAGCTGCTGAATAAACCAATCAGGTCTCGATGTTCCGCCTGAGGAAGTACTTTTCTATAAAATAAAGGAATATAACTGTCTTATCAGTTGCTAGGGTGGCCTTTAAAGGAGACCCTAGCAACACTTCAAATGACCAATTAGGTTTTTCCATTTCAACTAGAAAGGTAAATTTTCATAAAAAGAAGTCTATTTGGTTATTTCAATTGTTGCTTGAGTGGCTTTTAAAGTCACTCGATTTTTCAAATGTTGCATATATTGTGTACTTCCACTAATTAGGCTATACATTTTACCCTTCAAGTTATGCTTCATTATGCAGTTTATAACACCAAGTACTCAATTGACACTGGATGCTTTTGTGAAGCCACCTTGGGAGTTCTTAAGACGTTTAAATTGCGTGTTACCAACCTGTAAAGTGCCAGACCGAAGAAACGTTTTATTTCTACATTATATATATATATATATATATATATATATATATATATATATATATATATATATATATATATATATATATATATCACCTTGCTAGTCACAATTAGCACCTCTGAGGTATTTCGTATCAGCACGATCTGAATTCACTGATTATTTCAAAAAAATACTCCAAATGAATTCAATGCTCAGTGATATGGCTAGTTTATTGATCCTAAAGCTCATACATATCAGTAATTGGGGTGTATGTAATGCGCATCAAACTGATTGCGACTGTTTACATTTGAGTAGTTCCAGAAGCATGAAATTTTCGATTAAAGACATTTACTACTTGCTGCATAAGTCCATGTATATTTCACCCTTGAAATTGTGTTGTACAACTGCTTGCTTTATTGTTTTTCTTGTGTTGTTACATTTATTCAGATGTAGAATAAACTACTTTTAATTTTTGAGTTTTATCTCTGATCTTTTCAATGATAAATGTTATTTATTATGAGTATATTATGACTGCGTTACCGAAGTTTACAGGACTCTCGAAATCGTTGCTATGTGGTTCAAAATTAATCATATTTGTCATTTAGCTGATGTTGAACATGCTATTTGTATATGCCTTCAATTCCTTATTTCTTTATAGCCTTTTAATAACTGACTTTCCCTTTGTGCTGATATTAATTGTTGAAGATTGAAGTGACAGACTACAATAGAACAGTGCATGTTGTTATTATTTATCCAGTTTTATCAACAGTAGTGAATTCCATATTTTATTGTTGAACAAGCATACTGGTGAATGTGTTGACCTACGGTGCACAGTTTATCAATTGCAATTGCGATAGTTACTTGTATCCAAAACTTGTCGTTTATACATAAATTGTTGATGTTAGTGTGATAGTAGGAATAGTTTTCATTTCCTGATGAATGGAACAACCAACTTAAGAAGTATTACTGTTTACTGATGTGCTTGTATTTGGGTACGTGGTTCGAGTCTCACTGGGGACAACATCGCTGAGGTGCAGGTACATCCAGCTGACGAGTGACTCGCGAATAGGACGAAACGCGCGTCCTGCATTCCTTTGTTAGCATAAACCAAGTGAACTTTCATAATTAATATTCAAGCTATTATCGAGGTATCCGTATAGGACCTCATGTGCCAATAGAAGTTGAGCAATCCGATCGAATAAAACAACGAAGAAATATATGCACATCAGTAAGTAATAATAAATAAACACGCGTTGTATAAGAGGTGGCTTTCGTACCTCAGTAGCCTAGTAGATAACGTGTTGGCGTTTGAAGCGATAGGCACAAGGTTTGAGTCTCATTGTGAGAAAGGCAACTCACTGGGGGTGCAGGTACATCCAGCTGACAAGTGAGTTCCGAATAAGACGAAACGCACGTCCTAAATTTCTCTGCCAGCCACAATCAAATGAGTTAAGAAATATTTCTTAAAAAGTAACTATCATTTCTAATTCTAGAAAAATGTGAAGTTCACCTAGGAAGCTATGACTTAGTCCCACTTTTACTCCTTAAAAAAATTCGTTGTTCAATAATTTCGAAATTACAGATCGTCATGAATTTTGAATTTAGTTAAGCTTACCTGTGACTGATACTTCAGATGGTTAGCTTTTTGAATGTAGTCCGAATAGACAATTTTATAAGAAGTTAGACAGTTCCCTTTCTTCGATTATACATGTAGAATAAAATTACCAAAAAAGATATATTCGCTAAAATTATTCCTCAATTCTATTTAGTAGTTTTTTTTACGCTGACTTCATTTAGGCCTTGTATTTGTGATTGGTATTGTGCTAGCTTTTCTGTGACTTATCATCCCTTCACTTCTATGATCATTCCAAAACACTTTTTAGTTGAATTATGAGACTTTTTCTTTACTGAGCGATTGCCATTCTCAGGAGTATAAGTTTGTATCTGTATTGTTTGTTATTCACACAGCTGTTTTTATCCTAGGTGTCGATTTACTGACCGAATCGAAGGTTATCAATCTTCGACGTTCATCATAGCTATGTGCTTTCGGCTAACCTATACGTTAATCATATTAGGTGATTCTGTCATTACAATATATCTGCTTTCTATACTTTTCATTTTGGATCAGATCTTTACTTATTTTGAATTGTTTTATACTTTATTTCTGTATACGAAGTGTTAGTTGTGTAGTCAATGGTTATTTGTCTATTATTTCAAACTTTTTCACTTAGATGATAACGTTTGCTACTGGTGCTTCTAGTGCAAATACAAATCAGTTAATAGGCTTCAGTAGTACAACTCCTCAAATGTTTTCCAATGTCTATCAACTTGGTTCAAATTCAATAGTATCTGGACAGACTACTCCGTTTGTTTTAGGATCTTCTGTTTTAACAACTTCATTTCAACCTACAAATAATCTTATTCGCCCTCAACTTCGTCTACCTGCCTCAAATATTCTCACTGGTTCACCAAATATTATGATTGGAAATTATCCTGCTGGTTTTACTTTAAAAACAGCCCCGGTACAGACAGTAGGCAGCGTAAATTCAATCCCTTTCACTCCGACTTTCGCTTATCAATATCCTGGAAACTTTACATAATGATGATAATGACAATAGTCATACAATGATGCAGAAAAATGTGCATATATATGCACTTACAATCTCTTTTGACTTTGAATATCAATTCATCTAGTTAATCTGTACATAGATTTATATTCTTATCATATATGGCGCCTTTTTTTTATTGTATAGACTTGTCATAAGAGAACTTTGAAACCTGCGTTATATATCCTACCGTTTTCATTTTGGATTTATATAGCTCCAAATCGACAACAAAAACAACAACAACAAGCAGCAAAAACATTAGACTCGTAATGTTTTGTTTTACCTAGTGTTGTATACTACTCCTACTAATACTACTCCTACTAACTACAACAGTAGTGTAGAGCTCAAGTCGAAATGAGCAATTTTATTTGCAAAAAATCCTCTTTAGTTTCTTCTTATTCATAGTACATCAGTACTCTTCTTCTTTTCAAACGCTCATGCTGTAATTCGTTAGTATTATTAATATTCTTCCTATTCACCTAACCTGACATATATATATATATATATATATATATATATATATATATATATATATATATATATATATATATATATATATATCGTCTTTATCTATATTTTGCATTTACTATTACTATTATTTTTTTGTAACTTTCATTTGATTTGTTATTTACTTTAGGATATTTATTTGTTTTCATACTTCATCTCATACAACAACTTATCTTACAGGAAAAAAATTTTTAGAATTTCAATGGAAGAATTTATATTTCCTAATTTCAATGTTTGAAAATGTTTACATTTTCCGGTATATACACACATGTTCACGTATACCTTCTTGAACTGGTTTTTACAATATTTACTAAAAATGTTATTTTATTAAGTAGTTGAATGAGAATTGTTGGTTCATATTTAGTTTCCTGGTAAAATTATACGGTCGTTGTTGATGATATGTATGTCGAATGGAATAAAAATATTTTGGTTATCGATGATCCATTTCTGATACCTGAGTTATTGTTTTTCGCTAAGTTGTTCCAAAATTCTATTTGAATACCTACTTTTCAGATTTATGTTTCATATTTCTCGTTAAACAGGGTATTCCTAAACAATTCCATGTAGGGATCTAGAATATTATTATTTTGTCCCTTGGCTTTTTAGTGCTTTCAGATTAATGAAGGCCTGTCTTGCTTTTCTGATCCTGGCTTTGACGTTCACATCTGTGCCGCCTGTAGTTTAAACGATACTGCATAGGTAGGTGAAAGAGACGACTTCCTTTAGGTTTCTCGCGTTCATGATGATTGATGCTTGTTGTTGATGTTTGTTTGTTGGGTATCTTCATCATCTCTGTCTTCTCTGCATTCACTTGAAGTACCGTTTTCGCTGCCTTTTCTGTCAACTTGCTGGTTTTCGCCTGTAGATCTTCGAGTTTGTGCAATATTAGATATAAATCATCATCATGGACGAAATCCAAATTTTGTAGGGTCCTTTCATCGTCCAAACAGCATATGCCCCTTTTCTCTCTCCTCACATTTTGTTACATGATCCAGTCTACCACAATGAGGAAGATGATGTGTGATAGTAGGCGGTAGCCTAGTCTTACTCCTGTCTTCACTTCAAAGGCATCACTTAATTTTTTTCGCCATTCATACCGTACATTCTTGTACTGTGAATGTGTATGTATTCAAATGGCAGGCATAATGTAGTCAGCGTTTCCTCATATTCTTTCACTCATCAACTAAATAAAGTAATCAAAGTGCATAGGACACTGATTATAGCGGATTACAAGAATCCAAGTGGTAGAGTTAACTTTTAGTGGTTTTCAGAGTGGTGGGCCATATTGATCTCACATTCTCATTTCATGTGTGCTGACAAGTTTCATTTCACATACGCGTTATACAAGCCTACATCATGGCTACCAAAAGTCTTTGTTAAAGGTGTGAAATATAATAAGGACAAAAGGATATCCTGTGAAGAAAATTTCCCTACTGATGATGTCATTTGATAAAACCATTTTTCTAAGTATTGGAAAAAAGTAAAAGTTTATTAGCTATTGATGAGGTCACATGATTACTGGAATGTTCGGCTTCCAATTGTATGCGAGGTATGTGGATGATACACTCATAAGATGCAATGAAGATATGGGTGTTTGGAAAAGTCTGATGATATACATATCAAGGAAAATTTTGAATCTTACTAAAAAGAAGATCAGGAAGTTATCTTCAGAAACTGATCTATAGAAAGTTGACTTGGAATTGTCAGTGAATTCATTTTCGCAGAGAATTAAAAAGATCTACACATGAAATGAACTGGAGAAACTTCGAAAAGTTCTACCCCAAAGTAGATGTCTCTCCAGAAGCTAAAAGTCTAACGAAACTGAAGAAAACCCCTGTCTTGAAGAAAACATTATATTCAGAAATGATGTTGTAGCAGAAATTACAGGGCAACTGTCGAATCGGAGTGATATAAAGGGCATTCTTTCCTGTGTCATCTCTCGTCAACGGCTGATTTGTGAGTGTGTTGATGAAAGACTACCGCTTTAAGCCACAGCAGTTTGTGTCTACGAGCTTACTTGCTCCGGGTGAGTAGTTTATCTAGGCAGAACAAAGCGTGCACTCTTCAGACATACCCTTGGACACTATTCCGCACGGTTATCCTAAGGCTAACGTAAATCCCGATATAGTTAGTTACTTTAAAACTTTGTCAATTCAAATGGCGACTTTGAGTCCTATTTTTTTAAGTTGCCAGTTGAGACTAAACGATTAAAAAGCAGCACGGTCCCTTTGCTTGTGCTTTCAGAAATGCTGGGAATCCACCAGTACAAGTGTGAACTTTGTGCAGAAGTAGTATGATCAGCCTCTCCTTCAACTATGGTCTTGATAATAATGTATTCCTATATAATTTCCTACTGTAATTAGAAACAAATTTTCTGTTCCACTACTGAACATCATAGTAATCTTGTGGCCCTATTGATTATTTGCTTTGAATGCGATTGGGCAGCTTTCCTGATTGGCATCATCGAAGAAAAGTTTTCTTTGCGTTATCTTTTCTTAATGACGTAAAAGGTTTGGGATATATGGAACTCAAGTATTTTTTCACCGTTATCTTTTTGTGTGATAGAATTATTATATGAGCTGCTTAAGGATCAAAGGCGAAGTATTAAGTAAAAGAGGCACGTAGTTTGATGAGGATCTGTAGCTTCACCAGATGAAATGGTTCGAGGTATATGCTAAGTAATTCTCAGAACTGCTGGACTCGACGTGCTGTGTTGGTATTAACACGAGTCGGATGGAAAGCACTCAAGGCTAGGCAGATCAGTATATGAAAACATCCCTTAAAATCTGGTCATTCTTTTGTGTAGTATGCATAGCAATTTTGAGTTTCAAGCAGTGACGAAAGTCGATGTGTGGTGAAATTACTCATTGTCACTCATAGTGTCAAGGATAAATCCACACTTTATCCCCTCGTTAGGTTTGTTTGATTCATTGGACGTGTTATTATCTTACCTCTTACACTGATGATACTGCTGTTTGCGAATTTCCGTATTTACACTTGTCGATTTCCGTCCATTGTACGGATGGGACTTATAGCAGTTTGAAACAATCATCTGTGATTTAATTTTATCTGTTTGTGGATATTGTCCCTTACTTCCTGTTGATCTGTTATCAGTTTGTCACTTGTGTTCACTAAGTAACAAAATTCTATATCTGAGCATAGATGTTCTTTTATCTATTGAATTTGTGGGGATTAACAGATTTTTTCAAGTTGGTATTCATCATGGACTGATATCAGTTGGAGGAACATTGGAGACCTGAGAGGACTGGACAACGGTTTCATCCTAGTATGGTACTCAGGAGTGCGACCCCGCCAGGGATCGAACCCCCGACCTTCACGTTCGGTGGCCAGCACTTTACCATCGAGCCACTGGTTCCCAAAGTTCCAATGAGAAGTCGTGATCAGTGAGGCCAACCTGGTGGTCGTGAGGATATTGGGTAGTCGTCGCCCTACATCGTGAACTGACAGAAGTTGGAAATATGCACCACTGGATTTCGATCCGGTGACTTGATGGTAACGTGATGGCCGCGGAACGTGAAGGTCGCGGGTGCACAGTCCTGAGTCCCATACTAAATTGATATTAGTCCATGATGAATACCAACTTGAAAAGAAGTCAATTTCTCTGTTATGGAGTTGATTCCTAGTACCACGTCTAAATAGATGTATTCAACATCTCATTGACACAGAAGAGTGTTGTCTGTTTGACATCCGAATTCAGGAATCTTGCAATTTTTACCGTTTGCCTTCATTTATATTGGATTGAACTGATTTCCTTCCTAAACTAAGAGAATGACCACGGCCATAAACCATCTAACCTCAGGAAAATGGTTTCGTTTTGCAACTACTGACTTATTTTTGCTTTTTAAATCCTTTTAATAGACTAACAAGTTACCAGATGGATTTAACTATGATGTTACAGACTAAAATGGTAGTCTCAGTTTTCATAGCCTACCGAATTATGATAAAGAAACATGATGCATATGTTTTAGCACAATGTCATTACAACTTTGTTACTTCGTCGGCAGTAGTAGGCGTTATGTGACTATTTGATGAAAAGTTCGTAAGCAAATGTATGTGTACCACGTTGCACTTCAAAAGACAAAGAATTCTTGTTGTCGCTAGATATTTTTTTAAACTACACAGTTTACATTTATCCTTTATATTACTTAAATTACTCTGAAACAATTTCAAAGTACTCTTAATATTCAAATTATACCTATTCTGTCATCTAACAGGTATTTGTTAGCTAAACAGGGACATTGAAAATTGTGCGTTGTGATCTAAAAGCCGACTACATTGACTTAAATTTGTGCGTCGCAGCTTAGATATGCATTTATTAACTCTAGGGATATCTGAGCCTAATCATGTTGAATATATTAACATAGGAACATCAAAACACTAGTAAGCTTTACTTCCTACTGTATTTCACTTAGGGAAACATTAGTTTTCAGGAATGAAATATTTTTTAATCTTTGTAACATTTGTGCTTTAAAGCATCCTGTGGTAGTGCATAAAATTGTATTCAGCCAAATTAATAATACTGTTTTCATGTTAATTAAGAAGTATACTGAAGAAATCCATGAATTGAGCATATAAAATTCCATAACAGATCATTTGTTGATATTCATGGTAGTGTATATGTTCTTACCCACTAACGCTTTCATACTACTTGTTTACATCTAGATTTTATGTAGCAAGTCCGTAGTTTTTCTACGTTCTTTAATGCTTTTTTACGCTAAGTCTCTTGAATATTTTTTTCCCTTGAAGCCATAAAAATAACATAGGGTCAAAAGGCAATTTGTGTACTATTAGTTCTAATTTTAAACGTGTATGACTATTAGACAAATATCCTTACATGGTTAGGTATATTGCTCGTATTGTAGTTGTGAGACACGATCTGTAAGACACTCCTATTTTTTTTTATTGTAGTTATTTGTGTCACTGATCATTTATTTGTCGAGCTATTCACACCTGTTAACTGTTGTTTTCAAGAAGAGCTAAATTCGCTTACCGAATTGTTTATAACATCAAAGGTGTATTTCTTTACGAAATTTACCTACCTATGCATAGTACACGGAACATTACTGTGGTAACAAGAGTTTAACCCATATCACTTGTACTTATGAATTAAGTGTTTAGATCGTGTAAGTATAAGTGAATTTTTTTTAAAGGAAATGAGTTTTCTGGTTAATATCTAGCATGAAGTACATTTTTAGTGCCTGTACGAGCTATTGTTTCTGCCTAGTAAGCTTAATATTTGATAATCTTTCAGTATTACTGGATTTCATTGGAATTCTCTTCATCTAAGTTACATTGTCCAACTATTACTTACGGGTATGAGTTGTGGTGAAGGAAGGTTAATTATTCAAAAGTAAAAAGAAGCAAAGTGAGTGAGGCAATGTATAAGTTCCTGTAACAGTGAACTATTATGAGCTTAGAAGATGCGAAAGTACTACATGTAGTTTGGGCTTAACTATCAAAATAAAATGCAGATGTTGAGAACTCATTTTTCAAACCAAATTTGAAGGCCTTTCTACATAAATTAAAGTCGTGTAGGGGAAATTCAAGAATCCATAGTTTTAGATCTGTTTCTATCTCTTTCTCATAGATGTTATTTTGAAAATAATAAACATTTCAAAAGAATTTATCTCCACATATTCTTATTTTTTTGTTTTCTGCTTGTTGTGACCTTTGGTGGCTGTTGCATCTTCTTTATATGCCTCTTTTTCGAAAACCTGTCTGTTTTGTCATGAAGGTTCTGCAGTATTTGGTCTGAAATTCTTATTACATAATTAAGTATTCATCACCTGTTAAGTTGGGATAGTGTTGTTCTATGTTTTCAAGTAATGGACGTATATTCAATTGTTGGTCTGACTTATCTCCTTCCTAAAAACTAAATAATTGGTTTTACCTTCGATAGCAACAAGAATATAAACAGCACCACCTTCAATACTTTGAAGAGATTGCTGGTAGGTTTGTGCATCAGTTAACCCCAGTAGTTTCCCTGAAGTGTCACATAAGTCGAAGTTTACTGTAATATAAAATAAAATGAGTAGATACATACTTTCAGGATCTATTTCGCATACATTAATGATGTGGTTTAGTAATATTTCGAAGGAGCACCACATATTGACTAAGGCTTTTTTATTATCTATGAAAGAATTCCAGTCGTGTTTAAAGTAACTACCTCCAAACTTAATCCATATGAAGGGTCTGTTGCTGCTAATCATCCTTCTTTCTCAATACCTCTTGAGCACAGGTTCATCGAAGCTGACAACTGGAAGTTAGAACTTCTTAACACTTGGATTCGATCTTGGATATGTAGTTTCCTCCTGTTTGTGCTTAGCTGAGATTCTGAAAGAAACAAGAAGGATTATTAGCATTATCTATTCACATCCCTTTAATGTCACTAGTTACAAAGGTCGTGATTTACTTACATTTGAAACCATCTAGAATAGTTTATCTTAGGCACAGAATTTCACGCTCCCCAGATATCTTATCGTGGAGATTTCGGCATGAGTTTCTTCCACCCTTCTTATGTCTAGTTTCTGTAAGAAACTAATTAGATAAGATCCTAGACTAAATTCTAAAAACTGTTGTTCGGAGTGAGTAAGAACTTTTAGAGATGCTGTGGTATAGTTATATCTTTTAGTCCGTCCATATCGTGATCGTTGATGGTCTGAGGTGGTTGTAGGAAGTTGATACGGTTGAATACTTGATGCGGTCACCCTCTTACTTTTTCGTCTTTATATGAGATGTATAACTTAGTATCCTTAAATTTCCACCTTAAGAGTGAAGAAGGTAAGTGCAATCGTCATAGGTAAATGAAAAGGCAACTTAACATGCGTCAAGGAGTTCTGTGGTTACGATGATTTCATGAAAGTCTATGGAAGCTGGAATCAGAACTGTTATAAAGATCCATCTCAATGCTTTTGATTTTAAGAACAAGTGCCTAAGTTATGCTTTATTCAAAAACTTAGGAGTAGCGGTTTAACTGACATGCACCAGTACCACGTGACAAGACTATCCCGGCGTACAATGAAGTTTTGCATTGAATTTTTAGGAATGTTATGGGGCATTTCAAAAAATGTGCTGATCTTTAGTCGAGCTAGTGTTGTAACTCGAAAGTAGACAGGACTGAAGAACTCAAGATTTTCCTTCATATCTGAAGAGCATAAGAATCCATACCTTGCATAGGTGAACTCGTATTCATCAAGTACTCACTTACTCTTCTGGGTAGTAATGCATAAACTACTCATGGATCCTCTATACCTTGAGTCACCTGATGTGTAACACTTTACTGGATGGTGATAGTGCTGTCCACGACGCAGTCCGTACAGAATTTCTCTTTGAAGAATACACACATTTTGTGCGTTAGCTTTCTGCTTTATTCTGAGTCTGAGCTGGAGAACGTCTTCCTTTAACTGACAGCTTCTGATGAAGTTTCAATACACCTACTTTATAATACTGTAGCCATTACATAGGAGACAACAAATAAGTTAGCCTGCGATAAAGTTAATTGTTGATGCTAACATATTTGAAGTCTTACTCATGTTTACTATTACCATTAAACTCTTATTTTACTTCGTGTTTCCATTTCTACACCACCTGCTGAAAAGCTGCCTTTATTGAGATTCATTTTCAGTTTCTGCTTATTTCCTGTTTTACTCTCTTCGTATAACTCGCTTTTACTGCTCGTCAACACTGGTTCAGTTAGTTCCGATGTTTCAAGAGAATAAAATTATATCCCTTTAAGTTGAATGAAAGCCGTACCGTCGAATGTACGATCAATTCGGCCTTAACATAATCATGGATGAGCAGCTAACTTCACATCTAAATTCATAACATTCTTCTAAATTCGCATCAGCATCTTTTAGTTAATACATACATTAGGATGCAATAAAGCTCGCACTATAAAGCTAGCAAAAACCCCTGTAGTGCATTGGAGCTTTTAGACGGAAAGGTTCGTGGTAGTTTAAAAATGGCTTTTTATTCTCGAAAACTTTCGACTTTTTACGTTGTGTATGTGCACAACTAACAAAACCGTGTCAACTATCTTCGGTGAATCTTTTTCGCCGCAAGGTATTGAAATTGCAATGCTTTAAAGTATTAGGTCAATGAATAGGGTCACTGTCTTAGGTCGTCAAATCAAAATTATGAAATTCCATTACAATTTCCATCTTTGGAGTGCCTAAAATATCCTTATTTTGTTCAAGAACATAGATTAACTATAAGTGGACAAGTAGTTACTTTGCGTTATGCACTACCAGTTTGGATACACGCCTAGTATCACTGTAGCAACACGTATGCTCAATATCTTTATCTGACATTCAATATCAATATGGCGAGTAGAGGAAACTTGTAGTTTTAAGCTCTCGTTTCTGGGTTTTGAGGCTTCCAATATCCAATATTGATAGTGCGAGCGTAGAAAACTAGTAGTTTTTGATCTCTCGCGTCTAGTTCTTAGGGCTTGGTTCCAGTTGTTCGGTTTACTCCTGCAGTGGACGAGGAAATCCCCTCTGCTTTCTTGCTTTTAGCTTCGGTGAGGTGGATGTTTTGTGGGTTAGTAGGTTGTAATTTGTAGAGTGATTAGGGAGCTACGGGTTGCTGGGAAGTTTAGAGAACTGCCATGACTCCTGTCTGTGTAGGTACCTGGAAGAGAATAGTAAGGTAGTGGTAAAGGAATGAAGAGAGAATAAAGAAGAGAGTGAAGTAGCACCATAGAGACTCTGGGAGCTGGGTTAAGGCCGTATCGCTAACCATCCTTGCCTTTAAACAGGAGTTTGCGTAGATAGCCACTCCCCCTCCTGCTCTATGTTCCCTGTCCCTGCGGAAGAGTTCCATGCCAGCAACACGCATCTCTTCGTCGGAGATGTCCGATGAGAGCCAGGATTCGGTGATGAATATGATGTCGGAGTGCTGATGTTCACGCAGCGTCCTCATTTTTGCTACCTTCCCTATTAGCCCCCTAACGTTGCTGTACATACATATTAGAGTGTACCTGATGAGAGGGGAGGTCTGGATGTGTATTTTCGCGGGATGAGCGCTTACGTGGTTGAATTTAGCCTCGCCAGTCCTCATAGGACTGGCATTGTTCCGTTTTTTTGTGTTTTGTTCTTAACTTGGGTGGGGGCTGTAGCAGTGGTGGCTTCTTTACTTGATGTATCTAACTCACTGGTCAGCGCCTGTGTGACGACCACTGACTCCAGAGGTCTTGGTGGTTGCCGTCTCTCCTCTTGCCTTGTGGGTCTAGGCTTACTTTCACATATACGTATTGAGCCACCCATGCGATCTTTCGCATTATACCATGCGTGCAGAACGTCTGTGAGGGAGGCATATGAGTCGAACTGGACGGCAAGTAGTCTGGGATTGGGTATGGTCTTCAGGTGCGCTGGCCTTGGCAGTCTACTGACGCTGTTGGCCGGTATACTGTTGAGACCAACTTTGGTTGAGAGCCATTGCCATTGTTGGACGTCGTGAAAGTACCGATCTTTGACCGAGCTGTCACTTGGCAATTCTGGAATCCCATGTACAACTATAGTGTTGTTTCTGTTGGGATTTCCAACCGCTGACTTTCTCTCCTCCTCTCTTACTGACCATGGCTTGTCAGGCCTGGCCCGAATTTTACAGGCATTAACAACGTCCGGTTGTCGTGAGAGGAGGAGTGTGTCTTCAGCCTCTTTGGCGGTATTTAGGGACACACGTAAAGGGGGGGCTTATCTCGGGGTGCATGGCTTCCTCGAGAAAGGCGACACAAAGTTGCAGGGAGGGGAGGGAGTCCCAGCATCTGACAGTAGTCGGTCCACATTCGGCTGTCAAATTGTTCCCTCTCGACCAACAATGAGTCTGTCGATACATCGACGTTGAACAAAATGATCGAGTTGGTCCTCCTGTGACCTGGGTTCGTTGTGGGTGGCACGCCCGACTTACCAATGGGTTTGAGTAATTCCACTGGTTGTTTCTCAGTCACGGTGTGTGGGGTGTTCGGAATGGGTTTCGTAGAGGCTTCGGCGGTCGATGTCTTTGGCCATGCGCTTGACGTCCCCTGGGGCCGGGGGGGGGTATGGAGACTTGACCTAATATGGTCCCCACGCGAGATGGCGTGCCCACAGCTGGAGCTCTAGGTCTGTTTCCAGGTCTCTCTGTGTTATCCTTTGGTGTTAACCCTACTTATTCGAGGATGCTGGTAGCTTTTGCGTGGCGGAGAGCATCTCCTTCAGGCTTTCTGTGCGGAGTGCGGGCATTTTCCTGCACTCTGGACAGATGTACCAGAACCACTTGCATGGTTGTCTCTTCATCAGCTTATAGTATTGTCGGGGGACTTTGGTATCGCAGTGGCAATGCACCCATCGTTGACACAGGTTGCATGCAAATGCCTCATCGACTACCGAAACAACTTTGGTGCAAACACTGCAGCCATCGGGTGTCGTAATACAGCCTTCCTTCCATGAATAAGGTGCTACGGATTGTGGCGAACTGCTTGTGGCTGCCTTGTTCTGAAGCCTTTTACGTCGTCTTCTATGTTCAGGCATGGTATGATCCTTGCTCAAGATAGGACTAGTTTGTGACGGGCTAGTGCTACTCTGTGTCACCTGTCTGATGGCTACTGGAATTCTAGAAACATGGGTTGGCCACTTCTTCAGAAGTTCGATGTTCTGCCCTACCTCTGTTTGTCTTCTAGTACAGACTAGTGTGTTGTTTAGGGTGTTACTGGCCGTTGTTGTGCACGACCGCGTTATCCGTGTCAAAGCTTCAGACCTAGCGTTTTGGGCAGACATGTCGCTATGATATAAACTTCTTGGGAAAACAAGTAGTTAACAACAATAAGAGGGTTGAAGACTGAATGCAGGAAAAGGACAGAATAGAAAAGGGAAGATAATTTATGTTGGCTCACCTTCAGACACTTGTCACTTGATCCTCTGCTCTTGACCAACGAGTTTAACCGTAAGCTCCAGATGCGTATGTATAACCAGGGAAGATATTTCCTGGGGAATGACCTCCGAGGAGAACCGAGAGCTAAGGCAGTTTGGCAGCTGAAACGCCCAAGAACCACTGACAGGAGGTAGACCGGTTGGTTCAAAGGAATAATAATGCCAATTTTCAACTGTTGAGGAGTGAGCTGACGAATGCGCAGGGGTGAGGTGCGTGGACGGACAGAAGTGCTGCAAACGTTCGATGTTTTTAGATTGAGTATTGCAAGTGGGAGTTTTTCATTGTGGAAAAATCCAAAAGCTGAGAGACGAGCGAAACACGTCACTACTCAAGGAGCGCGCTTTGTCCAACCTATCATGCAGGTACCTTTTCTTGCAAATTGCACCTTTCTTTCTTTGCGGGTTGGGAAAAGGGAGCTGCTGATAAGATAAATTGACCTTTCGTGAGTCCTGTTTTTGTAAGCACCTGCGAGTAAGTATTAGGCATTACTTTCAAAGTGCTGTAAGTAGAGTGAGTGGGGAAGGAGGAAAAGCGGAGTGAAAAGTGCTTAGTGAGAGATAAGTGTTACCCTAATAGTGTGGAGAAGAGATGATTCTTATTGCAGATACTAGCTTTAGGGGATACAGGACTGGATGAACATATCATCAGTTGCTGCTGGCAGATATTAGTGGTGAGCCACTTGCACTCACATACTTATCCAATAGTCGTTTATATGAGTCGACTGGTGTAGCTGTGGATACTTCCTTTGTAGAGCGTCCCATAAGGCACACACTCTTTGTGGGAAGAGGTTTGGTCTCACTCTTGTCTTTGCCCCATGGTGTTGTATGCTAGTGGGGTTCCCGGAAGGCTGGGTTTTCGATCGAGAATGTCTGCCTATTTGAGTGGTCTACCTAGTGAATGATCTTGTAAGTGGTCACCATGTCACCTCTTTTCCTTCTATAGCTTAACGTTAATAACTTGAGTCGTCTGAGACGTTGCGCTAATGTTTTCCCTATTGATTCTACAACCCGCCTTGTCGCTGCTTTTGTGTTTTCTGGAAAGAATTTGAGCCTCTCCAGTAGAGTAGGGGGTCGGCTATCGTGTTGAATACCTTCAGATGTGGTCTAACAAAGGTTTTAGATGGCATGGATAATTCCGTGGCTAGCACTCGAAGCTCCATTACCAGAGAGTGGACGATGGCGTTCGCTTTTGCTATCATCCCTCATAGTTGTCAGTAGTATCCTGCTTGTCAGAAAAGTCTAGTCCTAGGTCCTGTTGTCGGGTTTAAACTTTTACCTGCTGTCTTTCGTTGTGAGACAAACCGATATGAACCTTCCAGATTGTAACTAAGCTTTTTAGCTAGGTCACTTTGGTGTGTGTACTTGTCCTTATGAACTCTTATATTACATAAGTTGCCTAGCGTCTCGACGCTATGTTAGGTTCCTTGTGTGATGTGAGCTTCTGATGCCACCCCTTTTTCATCTGTACTTGCCTTTGGACTGAGCGAGCTACTCAGGATCGTTTGAGAGGTGGTCGTCTGGTTAGCTTCAGAACACCGTTTTCAAAGGTGCTGCTGATATCTTTAGTATGTATCCAGTGTTCGTCTACCGGTAGCGAGTGCCGTTCTTGTGGCCATGTAGCCTCCGGGGGCACGTTGTTGATGGGAGGATAGTCTGTTTTTCGGTGACAGTGTAAGGCTTCTGGCTCAAGCGGCAGCAGCTTCTCCTTGGTTGTCAGAGAAAATCTCACCGAAGCACCATCGTTTTGCCTAGGAGGTGCTAGACACAGACATTGACCGACAAAAGATCGTTGTCTGTTTGAACATAGTCAAGTGGTGATCCTTTTCCATCCGGCCCCTACCTTGTGTTTTCTCCTTTTCCTCGATTAATCTTGTTGCCATAAACGTGTTTCGAGGTTTATGTTCAAACGTTTTTGTGCCACATCTTACTTAACATCCTGGGTTGGGTCCTAGAGTGTTGAAGTCCTCATCGAGGACCACATGGTCATAGGCTGCCGAGGTGGATGTCGAAATGGTGTCGAGCAGCCGTGCCCTATGCTCTATTGCCCATAGAGGGGGGCTATATACCACGCCCCATTGGCGCTTAGTTTGGTTTATGGTGAAATGGCACATAAGAAGCCCGGTAGTAAGCTAAACGAACCGACCGTTGCCTCCTTGACTTTTAGGTGAATGCTGACGCACGTGGTAACTCCTTCTTTGAACTGCCCGTCCCTTCTGAACAAGGTCGTGTTGGGCGAGGATATTTCCTCGTCCACGATATCTGACAGGAGCTGAGTCTTCGCAATGAGAATTATATCTGCTTACGGATCATAGCACATTTTCTTGGCCCTAGGGGTTTTCTCGAAAGACCTCTTACAGTACTGTGGAAGCATG